TAGCCTTCAGTCCTCTCTGCAGGTTAGCGTCCACATGTCTGAGCTGAATGTGGTTACACATCGCTCCGGTCGATATCCCAGTTCAACCCGACACTACCGACGTACAACTTTATCAAGACTTTATAGATCTAAACACTGACAAACCCCGCTGCTCCTAAGAGATGCTATCTGTTCACTGTGCTCGTTTACATCCAGGTTATAGAGCGAGGCAAGCAGGCCTGTTAACAGGAGCTATAGCCAGTCTACGGATACAGTCTGGGCTAGTGCCGAGTGAAGTTGATATTTGTTAAATGGTACTTTAGTGCAGCTCTTAATACTCTGAGGGAGTCGTTCTTGGGGTGACAGATCTTTATAATTCAGAGTTATTTTTTTGTCATATGAACGTAAACTCATTGATTCCGTCTGAATACTCTTTACTTAACCCTTTAGTGCTCCCAGTGCTCAATGCAGGGATTTCCCAAACTTAGCTGCACCTCCACCTCAATGTTTGTCTGACCTCCTTAGCCTCTCGTTTCAACATATTCATCTGTTGAACTAATACCCTTCACTGTCTGTCCACTTATCTCCGCCTCAGCTGTTCTCGGCTGACAGATCAGCCATATGACACCGCTGATCCTCCACTCAGAGGCAGAAATGTCCCTCTGGATTTAAGCCCTCCTGCTCTAAAAATAAACTCATCAAAGCTCTGAAGACGTGAATCAACACCGAGCTGACCACGATGCAGCTCGGACTACTTTGACCAAAAATAAAAAAATAAAACAATAAAGGATGAAATATGTGAACTTGTAGCTGTGCTAGCAACTTATCTTTACAACTATAGGAAGGATATCCATAAAGGTTTACAGATACTCAGAGTTGCCAGGGCCCGGTCGTTCAGAAGTAACCCAACAGGGTCAAAGCTACCGATTGGAGTGAATCTAGAAATTGGCTTTTTAACCTCCAGTTTGTGTTGTTTTAAACTTTTGAATTCGTAATCCTTCTCAGAAGTTTGCAAAGATACAGACGAATTAGTGAGGAAAATGTAAGAAAACGATCAAATTGCTCAAACGAGCAGAAATGTTGCGTTCCTGTGTTACAGCGCATTTTCCGCATGCTGCTGCAGCGCAATGATTTTTTTCCCCCTGTTGAATATAAATGACCTCCAGTCAATACTTTTTATATTCTGTCTCTCTTGTCTTCCCTGAATGCCCGTTGTTGGTAGCTGTGGTTGTGTTTTCACTTGTTGTATAATGACAACAAAGGCTTTCTCTATAACATCTTCATGTGAAACCAGCTGTTGGTTTTGAGGTGGCACATTTTTTTCATGTTTCAGCTTCGAGACTCCTTCAAAGAGCTGAAGAAGCGTTTCAGTAACCTGAAGTTTAACTACATGAAGAGAAACGACCGGACCAGGAACACGAAGGCCGCCAGGAACCAGTTGCAGCAGGTGGAGATGTATGAGGAGAAGTTACAAGTAGGTCCAGTTCCTGATCTGAGCCTCTCACAGGGTTGCTGAGGGTCAAAGTTACTCCAGTTGGGGGAGCCCTTGTGCATGGGCGGTTCTAGGCAGGGGCCAACAGGGGCCAGTGCCCCTGTAACACTGAGCTTGGTCCCCCCTGTGGCCACCCCTCCAAAAGGAAGAACCCCCTCAAAACACATACACAGTATTTGACTCAACAACCGGACTCACAATCTAGTATTAAATTCTGTTACTGAAACAAATATAAATCATGGTATTTAATGTTGTGGTATTTAATGATACTTGCTATTATTTGGCATAATAAATATTTTTTTAAAGCTATCATCTTTGTCTATTTTTGACCTGGGTTTAATGTTCCCCTCTGACAAAACAACTGGCCTCTGTTTGGCCCCCTCAGTAAAAATGGTCTAGAACCGCCACTGCCCTTGTGAAGTAATAGTTGGGTTGTATTCAAATTACCAGCAGCATCACTGGTTTGTTGCATCCTTTTTTATTGAGCCTGGTTGGTCCCATTGAGGTCAGAGGGACTCACTGCCCCGCCTCTTTCCATAGTTACCGTGTGGTTCATCACTAACATCAAACGAAGACAATCCCTTTCTGCTGGTCTGGTCTTAGCTGTAGGCGATCATGGCTGCAGGTCATGATATTTTGTCCAAGGTATAAGCAGAAAAACCTGCCACCATGTTAAGATGTAAAACAGTCAATTCGTGGTACTGCTTGGAGTTTCTTCACCCTACTCTAACATCCCTCACATTAAAAAACCCATAAACTACTTCTATCTGTCAGTCCATCAGCGGGAGCATGATCTGGCATGCTCTGCTCTGTCTGAACTTGCAGGCGCTCAGAAAACGTCTGCAGGGTGTGACAGCACGGCTGGGGACGGAGGTCAAAGATGGGGGCGTGGCTCGGGAGGCTGAGGACGCCATCAACGAGTTGCAGCGACAGATGGGAGAGTTTGAACGAGGTGTCAGCGAACACCAGAAGACACTAGAGATGACCTGCAAACTGCAGCAAGCCATGGAGGAGGTGAGACAAACTACAGTTCATTTTTATACTTTTATACTTTTTAACAGATATAAGATTATTACATTATAATATTTGTAGAATTAGTGTGAGGTTACATTCACAGAGTCAGTGATTTGTTTTATTGTTGGTTCGTATGAACAGTATCAGTTCTGGTGCGAGGAGGCGAGCGCGACCATCACTCGTGTCAGGACATTTTCGTCCGAGTGTCGCAGCACGGAAGCCGTCACCGTTCTCTACCAACAGTTTGAGAAGTTTGTGTGGCCAACTGTTCCTCAACAGGAAGAGAGGATCAGTCAGATCAGCGAGCTGGCAGTCAGACTGCACGGTGAGTAAACACCAAGTAGCAACACGGAGGTGCAAATAGCTGCAGTTCCTCGAGTGTCCACTACAGACTGGATGCTAAACCTTGGAAGTCCCATTAACAGCCATGTTAAAATGTTGATTCAAACAGTAGAGTTCAACATATTTACAGCCCAGTTAAAAGAAGGTCTGAATAGCTCATGTCTTTATTATTGGCTCACATTGTCCAGTGTGTGAATTTAATTTATGACCCACCTGTTTTGTTTAAATTAAGCTAAGAGTTGTGCATTGTGCATAATAAGGCGTGTGGCGTGTTGTAGCTCAGGAGGCTGAAGGCCTGCCTCAGGCTCTGCCTCTTTGCCTGCCACAGTGGAACACAGCAGGGGAATCAGGGGCAGTGATTTTATTCTTAACAGGTGGATATGTATCTCTGAAGTCGTTTTCACTCATGCAGTCCTGAAAATATCTTGATAATTACCGTATTTTCCGCACTATAAGGCGCACCGGATTATAAGGCGCACCTTCAATGAATGGCCTATTTTAGAACTGTTTTCATATATAGGGCGCACCGGATTATAAGGCGCATAGAATAGAAGATACTGCAGTCAAACGTTTGACTGGGGTTGCGTTATGCATCCACTCCTCTTCTCCCAAACGTGGAGGGGAACTTTTCCCTGATTCAGTAAACACGTAGTAAAAGAAACAGTCTGATACCACTAAATCAAACGTTAGTGCATTCACAATATAGTAACTCTCGAAATTGTTCATTCATTAGTGCATTCACAATAACTCAACATTGTTCAAACGTTAATGTGCATATTCACAATATCTCCCAGCCTTGTTCAGTTGTAAACACGTAAAAGAAACACAGTCTGATACCGCTAATTCAAACGTTAGTGCATAACTCAACATTGTTCAGTTACGTATAACACGTAAAGCTCACTTTTTCAGTTCATTCCCCGTCCACGAATCCCTCGAATTCTTCTTCTTCAGTGTCCGAATTGAACAGTTGGGCGAGTACAGCATCCAACATGCCCGGCTCCCTCTCGTCATTATCCGAGTCAGTGTCGCTGAGCGCCGTGTACAACCAGTATGGATCAACCAATTAACCAATTGATCCATATATAAGGCGCTCCAGATTATAAGGCGCACTGTCGTTTTTTGAGAAAATTAAAGACTTTTAAGTGCGCCTTATAGTGCGGAAAATACGGTACAGAAGGAAACATACACCTCACAGCGGGACACTATACCTGTCAGATAGGAGGGGGGGCGGGGGGTCTCCTGAGGTACGATATGGAATAAAAAGAATGACGTGGAAGTAGCAGACGAAGCAACAGAGTCCTCTATACGGCGCTAAATGAGAATATTTGTCTTAATACAGCTGTCCATGGCTCTTAATCTGATAAATGATAATAACTCAAAAACTATGATACTGTGTATGTGTGTGTGTGTTTGTGTGTATGTGTGTTTCAGGGGCGGAGGAGGGGCAGCGGTACATCGAGAAGACGGTCAGCAAACACTCAGAGATGGTGGCATCCATCAGAGAGCTGAGTGATGGACTGTTGGAGCTGGAAGCCAAACTGAAGGTGAATAAGAATCTTAACTGAGACATTTAAATCCACTTGGACAGACAAGTGGTTATATCGAGTGCTCAGATTTAGACGCTGTAGTCCTCAAAGCAGGTGGGCGGGTTTGATTTCAAGCCTTGGTACTTTAACTACTTCAGTCCCCATTTAACCCGTGACTGCTGAAACTTTTGTTTCTCATGTATTATCACTTCATAGCTAAACTTTTCCTGTTATTCAGAGCGTTCATGTGACGTCCCACACTTAACAGGGTCACTCTTTAAACCGTAAGACCATCTTGTGTTCTGTTTGAGGGTCACAACTGCCCAAGTCTTAGTTTATATTAATATCTCTGTCTGTCTGAGGTCAGGTGATGTGAACATGAGTCGTTTAGAAGAGATAGAAAATTAAAAAGCCTGTGCTGCAGTTCTTCAGAGTTTTCATGTGCCTCAAAGCTATGAATACTAAAGCATGATGTCTTTTAATCATGTTCTCTCCTCCGCATCCTGCAGAGTACCAGTTTCAAATACATGATGCACTGTGTTTACATCCACTTTGACATAACGATGATGTTTTCAGAAGGAGAACAAACAACAAGAGGAGGAGGAGGCAGAGAAAGAGAAAAAGGAAGAGGACGAGAGGAGAGACAGTATGACGGAAGAGAAGGACGTAGAGAAAGAGAAGAAGGGAAACAGGAAGTCAAAAAAGAAGGAACAGAGGAATAATCGCAGCACTCAGGAAACGGCTGAAATGGTAAAAATCCTCCCTAGTCGTAAGAAGAAGATATATTTCATGTTCTCTTGTGACTAATGCAACATTGGGCTGCATTTAAAAACAATATTAAACAATTAGATGCAAATGAAGATATGAAGCTTATCTGAATCTGTTATGTCCTCCCAGTACGAGCTGAAGGAGACAGGCCACACCCCTGAGCTGACGGCAGAGCATGATGGTAAGGAGGTTCCCTTGAAGAGGCAGACAGCGGCCAATAGGAAGCCTCCGTTGCAGAAGAGTCAGAGTCAGGAGGCAGAAACACAGACGGTCATTTCGGAGAACAGGTACTCTGAATGTGTTGGTTATTTTTTTTAAACTCAGCCAGTCTTTTCTATACTCTATAAGTGAAGGTTCTTTGTCTTGACTCTTTTCCGCAGCCGACAGCACACCTCCTCCTCCTTCTGCTCCACTCACACCTTGAGCCTCTCCTGCTCCCCTGTGTTGGCCAACCGAAGAATCTACACCATCCACAGCCAATCACAGCCTGGCGAGACTGAGACCACGTCCCCTCTCCCTCTGATTGGCCCGTCATTCTCCGACATCCAGAGGGCGTTCCAGAGGAAAGAGACAGCAGAACTGAGACAGCAGGTATATCTGCTTCATGTGGATTACTTAAGACACAGATAAATATAATTATTTAGTTATTTCCTGTGTGCTACCTATTTACTTTTCATTTACATGTTGGCATCAGAGCCATATTTCCAAAATAACTAGTTTATTTTCATCTCTACGCTGATGACACACAATTGTATCTTCACAAAATACTACCAGACCTTCTTGCATCTTTGAACCACCTTAAAGAGATAGAATTGACTTTAAGGCCAGACTTAAAAACTTTAAAAGCTTTATATGTTCCAGTTTAGAGTTGCACTTTCAAAAAGGTGACTCCTCCTGACCTCTATGTTCAGGGGTCCCCTGGTGGTGTGTGGCTTGGTCCTTCCTGCAAAGAGAATCTCCGGCTCAACTGTTAAATCTTAATTTAACTGAAAAACTTTTTTAACCTGATGGCGTTTTGTTATTGAAAAAGTACTCAACCCCAGACAATGGGAAAGAGAGTCCTTTTTTCTGTTGTCTGCCGTTAGCTTAGCTCTAAAACTAGCTACTTGGGAAATATGTTTGTTGTTTGTGTACAAACAATGGATTAAAAAAGTCAAATTAACTGTATTTGTATAAAGATATTTAATCAACCGTAAAGCATTCTTGTTCCTGTAAGAGTTCAGTCATATCAGTCTAACCCTGGATGTGTTCTACCCAGAATGCATCAGCAAGAGGTCTGTCAGAGACAGAGCTCCAGCAACAGGAAGTGATGATTGAGGATTACCTCTCCAATGACGAATACGAGTGTGCATCACCTGATGATATCTCCCTACCACCGCTGGCAGAGACCCCAGAGTCCATCATGGTTCAATCTGACGTCGAGGAGGGTGTCTGTTTCAGTTCCCACAGCGTCCACATCAACCAGTACAGCCACCAGTACCATGCCCAGTCAGAACATATTGGGAGTAGTTCTGCTTGTGGTGCAGTTCAACAGAGAGGGCCTAGTTGCCGAACTCCTCCCTCCAACCCTCACAGCAGCACCAGGTCTGTATCAGGACTAATCCCAGAGCCAATCCCAGAGCCAGGTCAGAACAGAACAAGAGTTCTTCCATGATGTTCGGGGAGTTTTTCTAATATAAGAAAATATAAATTATTCTATCCAGGGGTCAATATTCTACCTTGATTTTAAAAAAGCAAGAAGTTTGGATCCAAAAGATATCTTTGTTTGGCAATGAGTGCGTTTACATGGACTTGAGTATCCTGGTTTTTTTCGGAAGTATACGGTTTTTGTTTTTTTGTATGTAAACATCCTGATTCCAGAAATTGGAAAATGCCTTAACCCCGATTTTGAGAATCCTGATTTTGCAAACTGGAGAACACCTTGCCCTGGTTTCTGACAGCTGCAGACTTCCTGCACAGGCGTGGCCTCAGCCAAGTGACGTATCAGAAAAACAAACATGGCGGTGGCAACAAGAGCATCTTACTTGGAGGGACCAATAAACAAGAGTTTTCTCTTTCGGTAATTAAAGAATGAAATATAATTGGCCATTTGGATGGGAGAAGGAATTCTGACCTAGTCAGTGGTGAGCAGGCTACAGGATGCTGGTATTCCATCAGGTATGGTGGAGTGAGTTAGGTCCTGTAGAAACTTTACTACGTGGCCAAACATCAGTCCAAAAGAAGGGGCTCTGATCCAGCAAATTTCACATTTTACCAAAATCTTGGACGAGATGTTTGGTTACTGTCCACTGGACACCACAGCAGACGGTGGTCTTGATGTAAGCTTCTCCAGTTCAACGCAGGTTGTGTTTTTAAAAATAAACATCACAGGCACCTGCACAAATACGATGCACTAATCAGAAACTGGGATGCTCGTATTTATCTTGTATGTATTGATATGAATAACCAGGTTTCTATGTTAACACCATATTCAAAACTGAGATAAGGCTCAATGCTGGGATACTGAAGTACATCTAATACTGCTCCTGTAATACTTCAATTTTAAAGAAAAACAGTATTTTGGATGTCAATGGTTGACAACCACTCTTAACGAGCAACTGCACGTTCACCAAATAAAAAATAAATCAAAGAAATAACCAAATCCCAGAAATATCTGGACACCCAAAAACAAGTCAGATCTCTAAAGGGTTTGATACCTGATACCAAGCATAGCTTTGTGTACAATCAAATTGTGGTTTAATACAGGAGGCAGGAGGACAGTCAGGAGATGCAAATTACATTTAGAGGCCACATTTGAACTGTAAAAATACAGTTGTAATTATGAAATGTTGCAAATTACCAAGAAGCAATCAAGATTTAAGAAAATGGTCTTTCTGTGTGTTCCAGGCTTCGATCGGAGTCAGGGTTGCTTGTCCAGAGTGTGTTGACAGTTCCTGCTTCAAGCCCACTCACCAGCACTTTGTGCAGCATCCTGATTACTAAGGAGACCAGTATAGCCAACGTACCCCAGAGTGCTGACCACCCCCTGGGCGCCCATGAACCAAGTTTGCCCTCTGGATCTAATCCAGTCCAAAACAGCAGCACTGCAGACACTTGTTCTGACACAGACAATAAAGTCCCTGAGATAAATATACCTTTACAAATTGGGCCCCAAATAAAGAAACATAAAATTGAATTTAATCAACCTCAGACGACCACAGGTACCCAGGGTAAGATCACTCCAAATATTGGTTCCAAAGGTGAGACCTCGCTCAAGACAGATCCCTTTCCCCAGACAGCTGTGCTCAGTCACGGCCCAATCAGCCCCCTGTTGCGTTTTTATCCTCTGCATTCTAATGAACCAAATCCTGATCTCCAAAGGGACAAGACCCTTCCACAAGACACTAGGATCCTAAAATCCTGCAATACTTTTTCTCAAAAGAAAACTTCCATCTGTCAAGAAAAAAGTTTTCCACATTCTTTCCCTGCCTCTGGGATGGGCCTCCATCAGGATACAACTTCCTCCCAAACGGAGAACGAAGCATATCCAGTCTCCACACCAAAAAGGACACTGGAGAGTAAAAACAGCACCAGTATCAACACCATTTACAACCAATCATCCACTTCAAACAGTACTAGTACCTCGACAAAGGCTTGCAGCAGCCCCAGGTCATCCAAAGAAAGACCAGAGAGTAAGACGCTGTCCAAGACTGAGCCCGTCCTCAGCTGTTCATATTCTGCTCTTTATAAAGACAGCAACCTTCCAGGTGACATCAAATCCAGTGAAACCTGTGTCCACACAAGTACGACGCTTTCAAGGGACAGCAATTGTCCACAGTCTTCCCCTGATTTAAGGAGTAGCATTGATCAAGATGTTCTTTACTCCCAGTCTAGCAAGGAGGCATCCTCACCATCCATGCCCCTAAGCCGCAGCCTGATCACAAGTACTCCAGTTATCCAACAAACCTTTCACAGTCAGTCCTTCCCTCAAGGCAGTTATTGCAATATCCCTGAGGTCCATGACGCAATTATTCCACAGCCAAACTGTGTCAGCAACATCAGTACATCCCTCAGCACCATCACCAGTACTAATAGATTCAGCAGCGAGCAGAGCCACAAGGCAGTCCACTCCATCTGCGGGTCTACCTGTACCCAGCAGTGTGTGCATGGCCCTGGCATGACGCCCAGCAGCCCTGCCGAACCTGCAGCTCCTTCTCAGCCCAAAGCACACACCCTAGCTTTGGCACAGCAGGCTAATCCGCATGCTACCCCACTGTCCTTTCCACCTCATCTACTAACTCCAGACCAAGACCCAAACATTTGCCAGCCCATGGCCATCCGTGAGGAGATCAAGCTAACTCCTCAGATCCAAGGGCCTCCCCTTCCTGCTCCTCATCCTCTCCCCGAGTCCCTGGCAGAGTCTCTTCCCCAGGGAAAAGCCTCTAAACCTGGCCCACCCTGCTTTACCAGGCCCCTGTCTAGAGCCACCGTTATGGAGGGCTCTCCAGTGACGCTAGAGGTGGAGGTGTTGGGACACCCAGAGCCCGCACTCACCTGGTGGGTAGCATATAACCAGCTCCACAAAAACACACAAGAATAAAGACAATATTAGCTTCTCAACTTACCTTGAGGCGCTCTTTACACCTGCATTAACATGTATCCTGTAGCCGGATCGTGTGTAAATCTCCATCGTAATACATCCAATGTGTCTCCATCACATCAGTTGTGATAGTGAACGCTTATATGATTAGGGTCACCCCTTTGAGGTGAATCAAACTCAAATCTTTCGGCTGGGTCCGAATAAAAGGGTTACCATGTCATGGAGAACAACTGGTAACAAAAACATCTTCAACATACTTTTAAAGCACTGATGGAAAGAAAGCTTCTTCTCTGTTACCCAGATCTTTATTATGATCTTTAGTTCAACATCTCGATACTGTAATGTAAACATGTGTTGCTTTTCCGTCTGCACAGTACCTTACCATTTATACATTCCTATGTGGGACGAAGCTGATTAACCAAGACTTTTGCTAATGCAGGTGTAAGGCACTGAGCCAACGGTCCAGTATTCATCCACTTAGTAATACTTTAGTTTCATGTTTGAACAAATCCTCTTAAGTGCTTTAAGCCTACTTTAAAATTAAAATACATATCTAGCTAAAATTAGTTTAATTTATGGCGATACTATCGACTTCCCCTGGTGAAATAGTAGAACTAATTAAAAAACAGTGAATAGAGTCAATGGGAACATGCTAACTATCTTTGGAGACATACTTTTTTATAGAATAAACTGCCCTAACGTTAGCTATCTGTAGAAGAACTACTGTATGTTAACTAGCAAGAACAAACGTATGTTAGCTAGTGTTAAAGTTTGTCCGCAGCAGAGGAGACAGCCCTCTTTTTGCTAAGGTTCATGTTAGGTTGTGTCAGTAATCCTGCTGATAAAGACTGCAGGGAGTGAGAGGTAGAGTAAGTCTGGAGGAGAAAAGCAGGAGATCGACTGAATCAGTTCAAACTTCACCGCCTCAGTTTCCAGTTCTGTGTGCTTATAGGTGTTTTAATCTAACGAAGTAAGAAGTTAATAGTTTAATGCAGTTTGTTACTAACATGTCATCATTCTAAGGCACTTGTTTTTTTTGCTGTTTAATGATTAATTATTGATTAACACGAGTGTGCGCTGTGTTTTTGTGAACCCTGCAGTATGTGCACAGTAACAAAAGTGAGACTGAACACAGAAATAAGAACCAATGATGCTGCATGAACAAGTAGAACCAAACATTACACTCTACACAATCTGGATAAATCCAGATTTTCACATCATGTTTAACCTTAAACAAACTTTATCTTTGGCTGTCTGGTGATCAGATAAGGGGGGCTGTATATTTAGGACATCAGAGCTCATAGTGAAGCTGTGTGCTGTCTGACCTCCTGTCATCATGATCGCTTCAGGTCTAAAGAACAAGAGTCGTCAGGCACTGGCCCAGGCCGAGCGCTCGCCTTGGAGGATGGGGAACATTTCCAATATATCCCAGAGGCATCATACTCAGAAGAGGAGTCGTACGAGGCCCACGCTGCCAAACATCTTGAGTCCGAGCAGTCAGCTGGAATCAGCAGCAGCTGTGACAAGTGGCTGGTGACAGAAGTGTTTGAAATCATGAGTGTGGACTGGCACACCTGGTTTGGTACGCTGTGTGTTCTGTTGTGGCTGCTCTACCTGATACTCCTCTGATTACTCTTTTCCATTAAAAGAACTTAAAACCTGGAACTAAAGCTTTAACCTTTAATGCCCTGTCAAGGTGTGTTCAGACCAAAATTAAACTTAGAGAAATTACTGAAAAACTCATGAAAGTCTGAGAACTGAGATTCTCCTGAAGTTAAAAAACAAGCATTTTAAAGTTTTCTGCTTGTCATCTTGCAGACAGATCTGACAAATCATGAATTCATATGTTTTAGATATCAGAATCATGGTGTTATTTCACCATCTTCTCAGCCTCAATTATATCTCGGACCGCCCTCCTAGAGGACCACAGCCTCTTTATGTGTACCTTGGGAGCGCACTAACCAATAGGCTACTGGCATTTCAGTCATACAGATTTCAGCCGACATTTAATTGGACCCGTAAGTTAATTTGTTACTCTGTGGAGACGGATGGATAGAAGCTCCACAGCTGAAACAGAACGCCATCAGAGAAATCCTGGTTCTGATCCAAGCTAACAAGTCATCAAAATGAGACCTGGTACTGATGCTAGCTAACAGGTCATCACACTGGGACCTGGTACTGATCCTAGCTAACTGGTCATCAAACTGGGACCTGGCACTGATGCTAGTTAACAGGCCATCAAACTGGGACCTGGTACTGATCCTAGCTAACAGGTCATCAGACTGGGACCTGGTATTGCACTTCAGTCTGTTTTATTACAGCAGCATCTAGTGGACGGTAGAGGAACTGCAACTGTATGTGCTCCCATTTCTGATTTATTATATGTAAAAATAAAGTACTGATTAGGATTAATTATATTTATTTGCAATGTCAAAAAACATGAATTAACAATAAAATGAAATATTGAATTTGATCCTAAACATAACCTGAAGTTATTCTTCATCAATGTGAAAGCTTTGGTTGTGTAATCAGGGGGTTTCTTCCGTGTTCTTGTAAAAGGTTGATGAAATATTTGATTTGAATGCCAATGACATTCACCCCAAATGTATTTTGATTCTAAAAAAAACAATGAATATTATGGGTTTAGGGAATCAATTAATTACTAATGGCTTTCTTCAGCGTCCCTCTTCTTTGTAGTATTTGGAAAATTAAAGAAGTAGATATTTTGAAATGACGGTAATGAAAACAACATTCAGACCCTAATCTGAAGGTTTACTTTAAATGTCTCATCTTGTTCGGATTATTTTGAATATACTTTCAACGTGTTTTTCTCTGAAATAAAATAAATTAATCAGTCGTGTACCTGCCTTTTCAATTATTTTCAAAACATACTAACATTTTGGTAGCCTACTGTAGATAACCTTTGACCTCAAACTGAACAATTTCAGAAGTCAACAGGTAGGTTGGTTGTTGTGGTTAATATTCTTGTAATTTATAACATCATGAGGGTAAATGTTGAGATGATTACTGAATTTAAACACAAGAGGGAATAAGTACTGGTGAAAATATTGACAAAAGATGGGTTTGTAATTGAGGTGTCAAAATTGGATATCTCTGTAAAAGTTGTAAAAGTGTGACGAGATTTATGAAATTATTTTGTTCAAATATCCAGCCACTCCTAGCTGCTGTAACTTAAATATAAATACATCTGGAGATCATTTGAGGACATTAGCCTACTGGTGGTGAAGTAATTAGAAAACGGTAAGGAAGGAATTACCAATAAATTATGGAAAAAGGGACTAATATAAATTTGATTAAAATGAACGGTTATTGCTTGTTGATCCATTTTCATACTGTTACTGTAAATCTTTTCCAGAAATTTAAATTAGGAAAAAATAAATTCACTAGTTCCTAACTAATTCATAGTTATCAACATATCTGATTAATTAGTTATCATGTATTTATAGTTTACCTTTTTGAGTAACACTTATCTTTGGTTTCTTTTTTAAAACTGTGGAACTACTTTAATATTTACAGTCTATGGCAGCTACGCGACGCGTTCGTTAATCAGTGCTTCGGCCTCAAAGTTTCCTACGCAGACCGCGGGAACAGTCAAAACTTAACTTCTGACATGTAAACCATCTACATAATATCTCTTTATGGGGTTTTTCGTGGCAGTTAAGATGCCTGCTTTCCACCTGGTATGAAAACATGTTAATTCGAGACAAAAATCTCCATGTAAACCCAATAATAATGGTCTGTCCTGCTGGCCAATATAGTATTCCTCTGCTGAATTCGAAGCTTGATCCAAAGTCAACTGGACTAGTTGAAGATCTTGAAAACGAAAGGCTTCTTCAGTTCTAAACTTTCTGGTGGACGAAGCCAGAAATTAAAAGAAGCCTTTCGTAGGAGAGGTGAAACGTATTCAAGATCTTCAACAAATCCAATTGCCTTTGGATTAAGCGTCGAGTTTACCATGACCTGGATGACTGAGAATCTACACAGACATATTCTGCTAGCGCGGTTTGTGGAAATTATGGCTGTTATGAACATGAGAATGTGTTAAAAATTGATAAAAACCAGAAGATAACAGGTGACAATAACTTATTTTAGTAGCTCTGTGTTATTGTGTCAATAAACGCTGAGTAATGTAAACATAAAAGCTAGCTTGACCAGTAAAATGTTATGTTAACAGATAAGAGACAAACTGACAGGAAAGCATTCCTAATGAAACACAGTTAAGATACGTATCACAGCAATGGTTTATCAAAAACGGTAAAGAAAATGGATGGATTATTCTTTACGTATTTGAAGTAAAAGCAAAACAGTATTCTCAGCTTGCATTACAGTATTACAGTAAAAGTATAACGTAATTCTCTGCTTGTTGTTTTGAAGTATTACGGTAAAAGTCAAGCAGTTTTATAATTTGTATTTAGTGAAAGTAGTTTAGTTTAAAGAAAGAGGCTCTTAAAGTTAAAAGTACTATAGTGTTCACTTGTTCACACAGTAAAGACATCATAATTAAAGGATAGTGAAATTATGTATTTAATTAGCTTGTCAAACGTTTAAAATTTATAAATAATAACCTGTACAGTAAGATGTAGCTGTGACATAAATGTAACAACAGTTGTTGATTAAAGCAATAAAGATAATCAGACAGGATTAAACAGTGAGATATTAGTATCATGGCTCCTCTCTGTGTTGTCTCTATGGGTTTTAGCTGTTGGCTCTTTTTGATCGACAGGGACAGCTCCATGTCCTGGGCAGTGATCTGATTGGCTGATCTGGGGTCATGACACGAGCAGAGAGGAAACCCCCGCTCCCTCCACATGCATGCTGGGAAACCTCAGCAGGTGAGTCATGTTAGAGAAAGGTTTGTTACCCTCACTGTGAGGCCAACATCAGTGATCCTCAGGTCGTCATCAGACTCATGTGAAGGGTTTTAATCTGATCTGAGGGCTGAGAATGTTTATTTAAATCACAGAAGATGAATTCAATAATGTAAAAAGATTAAAAAACTGACACAGAGCACATCTCATGGCCTCTTTTTTATTTCATTACAGGGACCTCACGGCTCCTTTAAAGGTTTTAGATTAGAGTCCTTCAAGTTTAGGTCATGAAAGCCGTGAGAGGTCTTAAATTTGATCCTTTATATTCACTCTTTGTGGATTTTATTTTTCATGTGACAGATCATGGCACTGAAGCAGCTTCAACGTGGCAAACACAGGGAACAGATGGCGAGGGCAAACGGCGGTGTGGTGGCGTTCAATCAACCAGAAAAGGGCCACTGGAGGGAACCTGAAGTCTTTCCAACTCACGGTGGGTAACAAACAATGTCGGTCATGGAATTTGTTTAACTATTTATTAACAATCATTTATATTAAAAACACCTACAGAAGGCTGGGTGTTTAGTCGTTAGGTAGAAACGACCTTGTATGTGAAAAACATGAAAATAAACAGGACAGGATCCAAAAACATGTTCACACACGCACAGCTGAAAAACTGTGGCTTCCGCTGATTCCTGATTCCCCAACACCGTTCACCTACAATTCTACAAATAATTTATCAGATGCTTTTATCCAGAGCACAGGTGATTACAGGAAGTGACCAGAGGCAGAGCACAGGAGTTCTAATCAGCATCTAAACCATTCTTAAATCGCCATTATCAAACAAAACAATCGTCATTATCATCACATAAATTGGATTTTATTAAGTGAGCAGGAACTCTGCATTCGTCTTCTTTTGTTTTATTTCCATATTGCCCCTGATGAGATCAGCGCATCAAACTCTTGTACGTCTGAAATCTGCTTTCGCTGCGTGTCACTTTCTGTAAATCTTAGTTACTGACCACCTCCTGAGCTCTCAGGTCTCTTAGTCCCCCCCCCCCTGTGTGTCCCTATCCTCCTCCCTGGATCTTATCCCGTCTCCCCCAATCACATTTTTCTTTTTAGAACATAACAAAGACTTCGGCCTTTACTTGCTCTTTCGTAAAGCATCTCAAGGTAACACTTGTTATGAATTAGTGCGACACATCTAAAGATTGATTGATTAAATAAAGTCATCGTGGTCTGCAGGAGGTTAAATAATCATAATGAGTGCTGGTGTTTGATGTAAAATGTTTGTACAGGTTGGAAGTATTTCACACATTTCATTTATAATGTTTTATATCTGTTTCTATAAAGTTTTCTGATGTTCAACGTGTTTGTGATTAAAACATTTCTATGATGTTACGATGTACTTTGATTTAATTTGTGTCACACCGACTGAGCGAGCAAACTGACATGTTGGTGGACACACAGACCTCCACCTGTTGATGTGTTCTTCAGACGTGTCTTTATCAGATAATTGGAGGGATTAAAGGCGGGTTAAAACCAAATGAACGAGCTGATGACTTCTTTCTCTCTCTTTGTGTCTCTGGTCAGGCAAAGCGGCTGACAGGTGTGGTGAGTTGCATAAAATGGCTCCTCCGTCCTCCCATGATTCCCTAGTTTCCTTGGTGCGTAGCTGACCAATGGCAAGCCCTGCCTCATGTGATGTCACAGTGGTATAAAGCCCCCCGCCGCCCGGCTCTCTCCCCTGAGCAGTGTCAGCGTTCCCGGCCTGGACGCCTCGGCTGGAGGGACTGCTGTCAGAAGTAAAAAAACAAAACTACACGGCATTGACGGCCTGTAGTTTTGTTTTTTTCTGTGGGGTTCCTTCCCGGTTCAGCTGTTCTCCTTGTGGATATTGTCTACGCTTTCTGGATAAAGAGACTTTAGTTTCTGCAGACAGCCCTCTGGGCACTCCGGGCATCCTTGTGCAGACAAGTAAGTGTCTTTAAGTTTGTTCCTGTGTTGTGATTGACGAGCAGCAGCTGACTGACACTCTAACACCAGGACAAATGGCTTCTCTCTCACACAGAACTAACTCCAGCTTTCTGACACTTTTCTGTCAGCCTCACTTTGTGCTCATTTTGTTGCTTTTCGTGTTGAAGGTTATAACGGGACGTCCCAGAATAGCCCTGATAGCATCAGACTGGACTCTCAGCTGGGCGGCTGATGGCTTTTTAAGGGAATCAGCAGCAGGGCTATCAGTTGCTCCTCCAGCTATGTGCCACATGGTGGCTGTCAATCAAATAGAGGTGTGGTGGAGGGAGGGGGGGGGGGGGGCTGTTATTTTTAGTGCTGGTGTCCTGTGTTAGGTAAACCCCCCCCTGGTTACATTACCCAGAGCTGTGAGGGGAGGAAGTGTCTGACTGAGCACTAAGAAGCTTTTATTTTGGAGGAGCGTGAACAGCTGTTGGCCTGTCGTTTGGTTATTTTTAGATTTTATTGGCGTTAAATGAGAGATGAGCCGGCTGCAGGCTGATCGGCAGCAATTTAGGAATAAAGAATAAAATCATGATGTGTACCTGAAAGCGTGTCGGGGGTTTGATCTCGCAGCTTTTACTGATATTTATTATTATTTCAGAGATCTTGTGTTGGATGGTTGTCAGCTCCGTCTGCGCTGATCATAAATGTCTCGAGATCGAGGATTTAGTCGAGCTTCAACCCGTCAACATTTATGTTTTTAATGTGTCTCTAAATATTCTATTTTTTTAAGTTTTATTATTTAGAGCGGGTAGAGTCTGAAATCAGGGAGAGAGAGAGAGAGTGGGGAGCGACATGCATGAGAGAGACACAGGCCGGATTTGAACCCGTGCCGACTGCAGCCTCCGTACACGGGGCACGCACACTAACCACCAGGTTAAAGATGCCCAGAAACGCTGAATATTCTGGCTCTGATTGGCCACAAATGTTTCCTGTCAGAGTTTATAAATCCACCTTAAATATCTTTTGTTTCAAAATAAAATATTTCTCTTTCTTTTATAAAAATAGTTCAAAGGTCGGCAGCATCTCAAGCAGGATTCACTTCTGAGAGTGACGACAGAAATATAAAGTTTATGTTTTTAATAAATAGAAAACTGAGACTATCATTATTTATATTTGGATTAAAGTTATAAATCTTCAAAGGAGGACTGAGAAGAGAAACTTCATATCTAATAAATAAATCTGTATTATGACCCTACTTATCGACGTGATACCAAAATAAAAGCATGCCATGGTCAGTGCAGCTTCAGACTCGTGACCACGTGCAGAAACTTTTTACTACATGAAATAAGAACAAGAGAGGCTAAAGAGCGTCCTCTCCAGATTTATGTTTGCTATTTAAAAATTCATCGGGCTGCGTCTGTGTTTATGTTGTAACAACCTTATAAACAGTTAACTACCGTAAAACTTCTAATAGAAGTTTACTTGCCTGCTGCTGCTGTTGGACGAATAAAGGCTGCGCTCAAGCCGAGGCCGCCGTGCATTTAGTGCTGATCAGTTTGTGGATATTTATTTTGTTTATTGATTTTCTCCTTTTGTTTGAACACAATTTAGTATTCCCTCTGGTGTTAGATTAATTTACACTTTCATCGTCTTGTCTTTCTCATCTCTGCTGTGCACCAGTTTTGTTTGAAAGTGATTAAAGGCTGGTCTCGTGTCGGTGCCAAATAAAGGAAGGGTCACTTTATGGACTGAAGGAAATAAAAACCTAAGCTATTATTAGAAGTTTTACAGTAATTCAGCTTTTAAATACCAGTAAGCAAACGAACAATTCATTATACTTAACAAGCTGATTCATGATCAAGTTTGGTGCAGTCAGGGTTCAATGTGTTCCTCTGACGTACGGCACTGTGGTCTCAAACAGAAATACCTGTGTAAAGAAAAATATTGTGTGTTTAACCTTTTAATGACCTGAGGAGTTTGGCGTCTGACGTCTTCACTGTGTCACTTCAGAGACCTTCAGTTGAGTCATCAGATCAAGTTTAGCTGAAACCAGATCCGCTCTGTGTTGCGTTCAGGGACTCTCCAGAACCTGAGGTCACTGCTGCAGATTCTCCTCGTACATTAACTTTTAACCACCTTGAAGAACGTCTTGCTCACAGTCGCACGCTTTCTGTGAGTCCGAGGTTTTGAAGTCTGAGTGAAGTTCAAATAAATACATTTAATTAAAGAAGCTTAAATAAGACGGGACAAAGATCGAGACAGCCGATGAACTGCTTTACTCTTCGTTTGTATGTAACTCTGACACCTAGTGTTTAAAATGGGTACTGCAGTCCAAATTCAAAACATTGTAGAGAGCTGTCTCCCCCCGCCCCCTCCTCTCTAGAGTCGATGCTCACACAGGTTGCCATGTGGTGGACACTGAAGCTTCAGTGTTTAGCCAGCTCTGCATCGGTCTGTGAACCTTTCTGTGTTCTAACCTCTCTCCATTTTTCAAAAGCATCTCCAATATTGATCCTAGTTTGAGCACGTTTCTGCTCGTGGAGCTTATTAGAAACATGCAGAGGCTTTTTAGGTCGGGTACAATCACTTCTATCTAAACCAGTTCTCTTGCCCGCTTCCATCGCTGCAACACCTGTTGGTTTGCCCTGATAACTGCTCTCATATCTGGCAAACCAAGGGGTTAATTAATCCGAAGTGAACCCCAACAAAGACAACTCCTTAAACCTCTCAGAACTATATAATCAAAATCCGGGTCACATGTCTGTGATCTCATCATTTCATGAATCCATTATTTTAAAGTCGTATTAAGGGTAATTTAATTAACAGCTTTTGATGTTTTCAGTGTTAATTAGTAACTTTGATTTCAGCCTGTTCTGAATCTTCTAACAGTCAGCATCATGCATTGAAACAATAGATAAATAAGTGATTTGAATACGTTCATGGTTTTAAAAACTTTTCTTATTGATAGATTAAAATACCACTTTAAAGTGTTGATGAAAACAGAAAATTATTTGATCTCTGGTTAAATTGAAGAAAGTTACATTTTAAAGACATTCATGACAGAAAGATTAAAAAAACTTGAGCTCTGAGAGGAAACTTATTTGTCAAATCAAACAAATTATAAAAAAAAGCTTTGAATAGATGACAAATATTTCTCAGTTTTCCTTTTGAAAACAAACTTTGCAGTTTAAAGTAGAAATCAGTCCATCAGAGTGTCGAGTTGTTTTGATGTCAGTATGACGCTCAGATCTGACCAATCAGAGGAGTTTTTATTACCAGGAAGTGACCTCACCTGCTCAGAGCAGGAGCAGCTGTTTGTTTCATTGAGATTTGCCCAGGATTAGGACAAGGAAGGCATCAGGGCCAATCAGAGCCAATCAGTGCAAATCAGAGTAAATACAATTAACCGGGGCCAGTCAGAACCAACCAGGGCCAGTCAGAACCAATTACTGGGATCTGGGACTAGGACTGATGAGGAGAGACAGGAAGAGTTGTGAGGAGAGAAGGAGGGGGGGCATGCAGCAAAGGAGCATGGTCAGATTCTTAACCACGGCCGCTGCGACAAAGACTTTAGCCTCTGTACATGGGGCGTGCAACATAGCCACTTGGCCATCGGCGCCCCTTTGGTTTGAATTGTTGATGCTTCACTGCTCAGTAACTCGTAATATAAAGTTTCCTGCTGTGAGGATTTGGAGGATTCTTATCAGTCTTGTGATGTTTCTGCAGCTCCTCTGTGCTGACAGTTACATTCAGCTTGAGGTTCTTAAAGAGGACATATTATCCCCCTCTTCCACCTTAAATGAAAAATCTGTGCAGTGCTTTGGTCAAAATATAACATGAATCAGGCACCAGAGGAGGTTTGTGACCCTGTATAAACCAGCTCTCTCAGAACGCTCCGTTTTGGTGTGTCTCTTTAAATGCAATGAGCCCCCCCTTAGTTTTCCCGGTAGACATCACTCCTCTGTAGCAAGAATAAAAAATTGGCGGACCTGCGTAAAAGTTTTGCTCTAGGCTGGGGGTGAAGTCCATGGGTGGAGATATCAGGGGAGGGGAGGGGATTGTGACATCACAAGGAGAGCACATTTGAAACGAAGCATTTTTCTCTGTGTTGTAAGACTTATGCAGACCACAAACAAAGGACTAGGTGGGTTTATTTCACATTTTGTGGGCCTGTAGACACTCAGGTTACCCAAATACATGTTCAAAAACACTGAAGAAGTGGATTTTCCATAATATGTCCCTTTTAAAGTTTGAAACAGTAGAGAAGTGATTTAAGGTGCAGATCATTTATCTGGTTGGTTTGAACCTTAAAGTAAACACATCAATGTTTAATGAGAGACAACAGGAGCGCTTCAGGTAGCCCTCAAACCTCCGCTGCTCATGGGAGTAGCAGAGAGACTCACTCCCATGATTCCCCGCCAGCCTCGACCTTATCATTTGTTATTGTTTTGATTGAGAGCTCCCTGGTGGAGGAATCTTCAAACTGTCCCTTTAAATTCACGGACTGATAAATGTTTTAAATAACACCAACACGTCTCAGCTGGCTGCGTCTTCAGGGGGACATTCTGACACAAAGAGCGACTTTGTTCCTGCTACCCAGATTTTGTATGTCTTCAGTTTTCCTCCAACTCTTTTATTTTTTAAAACGTTTTACTTTGAAGTGAAGTGTCACTCGTAGTTTAACAAACATGTTTATAATATGACGCCTGTCGCTGCAGAGGGTCAGAAACACAAAGATTTATTTCATAAGATTACATTTTATTTTGAAAGTCTCTCCAGTGAACAGTTAGAAAACTTAAAGTCGTTATTTAGCGCTGGCGTTCGTTTGAAAGTTCTCCTCAGATTTTTACTAAAACTAAAAGAGAAGAACGTTTATTATTTCAGGACGTTTTAAATCGAACGCATGTGCCGTCTCCTGTCTTATCCTGATATGTCCATCCCCCCACAATACGACCTACAGTTGAGGTCTAAATAAAACTTTATTGACTGACGACGAAACTAAACAAACAAACGATGAACGCACCTTGCTGTCGGCCTCAGCCTGACCCGGAATGTGAACCTCTGAGTTTCTCGTGGAGGTTAAACAGGTGTGTGGTCTGTTCTGGATCAGACTCTGGTTTATCATGCAGACCATGCGGAGCCTCAACCCCCTCCAGGATAACGGCTCCTAAAAATACACGGGGGGTGGGGGTGGGGGGTGGGGTGGGGGGGCTGTCAGCAGGTCAGCTGTCAGAGTGAAAACATGAAACCCAGTAGGGACTACAGGTTCTGATTCTTCAGCGTGTGGCAGACTTTTTGAACAGCTGAGTTTTCAGAAATCTGGACTGCTGATAAACACAGACTGCCATGTTTGAATAAAAACCGCTCGGTTGAGGCTGAGAAAAGATCTCTGTCAGGGTTGTAGTTTTTCTACTTGATATAAAAACTATAGTATTCATTCATCGTCTTGACAGCTTTTTAAAAAGTGATTGTTTGATGATATTTAATAATCGTCGTCTTCCCAGCTCAGTGACTGACCACATTCTGCACGAAGATGTTTCACGTCTGAAGTTGATAGAAAAGTTAGAAAATTGTGAGCTAACCTCAGAGAAGGAAGACAGAATGTCTTTCATATTTACGTTAATGTGGACGTTAAACTGATTAATCACTTCAGGAACTGGCCTGCTCTGCTCTGATTGGGAAGGCTTTGAGTGGACGGGTCACTTCCTGCCCAAAGACTTATTCCTGGTGTCCTGTGAAGACATAGCAATAAGCATAGCAATGGTTAGCAATAACCACCATAACAGCGCTGTCCCGAGGTACCAACCAGAGATCTGTGCATGGTGACAGAGAGAGAGAGGGAGAGAGATGAAAGAGAGAGAGAGAGAGATATCAGAGCACGATGAGTGAACCTCTAAAAGCGTTTTGCACGTCCCCGCCCTGCCCATGCCTGGAGCGCGGCCCGCTTCAGGGAGTTTTACTGCTCATGTCAAACAGGTGTTTAAAATCCTTCAGTTCCTGCAGAGGGAGCTGAGTGGAGTCTGAGAGGGATTGTGGGTAATGTAGGAGTTAGTAACATCTCGTCTTCTGCTGTTTTTGTTCTTTGACTCACTTTGTTATACGTGTGAGTAGTCTCAAACTGTTTAATAAAAGTTTGAGTCGTCAGACATTTGGCGTCGATCTCTAGTTCAACTCATTTAACTTTTTACCAGTTTATTTTATTTTATTCAATCAGAAACTTTGAAAAAAATCCCAGAAGTTAGAAAGAGAAATAAAGTGCAGACAGGCAGAAAACAATGTTTCTTCTTCTTGTTTAGTTTTCTCGATCATCTCAGTTGATTTGAATTTATTGAAATTTATCTTATGAAACAATCAAAAGTCTACAAAATGCTGCTTGAACTATTCCTCTCTTCTCTGCTTAGACTCCTCCCTCTCCCTCCAGCTGGTTTTGAGTTCTCAGTGTCTGTGTTCAGTCAGTAGTGATTATTAATAAACTAACCTGAGGATGAAATGGGTCACATAATTAAAGAATGATAACTTAGACGTGTAGTAAAAAAGCGTTTGATGTGAAAAAAGATGAAACATGAAGATTGTTGTGAAGTATCTTCCTGACTGATTGTTGTTGTTGTTTTTGTTTTTGTCTGCAGGGTGCCGACCAACATGTCAACACAGGCACCGACGTTCACTCAGCCGCTGCAGAGCGTCGTGGCACTAGAGGGTAGTGCTGCGACGTTCGAGGCTCAAGTTAGTGGTAAGAAAACCGTCTGACTGGAGTTCAAATTTTACGAGACAGCACAGCTGAAGAGAGACAGGAAGTGTTGAGAGGAGAGAGGGGGGCGACATGCAGCAAAGGGCTGAAGTCGGATTCAAACCCAGGGCCGCTGTGATGAAGACTACAGCACTGTAAATGGGGCACCCGACATCACCACTAGGCCAAACGGCTCCCCTCAAACTTAAATTTGACTCCAGAATGTTTTTTCTGAGAGATTCAGCCCTTAGCAGGAAAGATTTTAAATGTTCGGTTATTTATTTACTTTTTGATGTTACTGATCTTTAAAGTCGACCTTTCTGCTGATCTGAAGTGTTACGATGCTGGTTGCTCAAACTTAAACGAGGACAAAGTTTCAGATCATGAGGTAAACGTATGTTGGCGTAATCCCAGGATGAGTCTGCAGAGGGCACTAAATGCCTTATTTTGTAAATCACACCATAGTTCCCCGATATGAAACCAAGACTTTCACCAGACGGCTTCAAGCCTCTACGTAAGCAGCTGAACCCTCTTGCATAGATTCTCTTCTCCCAGACCTGGAGAGCAGCCCTCCCCTGGCAGCCCTGCAGCGTTCTGACCACCTTGAGGGCTTCTAGAGAGCTGGCCAATCAGAAGAGAGTGGGCATGTGCGAAGAGTCTGAAATGAGGGTTTTTACTGACGCCAGTATCAGAGAAATAAGATCATGTGAAGCTGCTCTAAAGGTTTCACAGACTGACGACATGAGAGGTGAACATGAGGAGGAGATGGAGCTTTAAGAACAGCACAGACATATTCTTTAGAGTTTCGTTCTAATTTAACTTTAATAAAAATGGCGTTCATGCTTCACAGTCTCACCAGGTTATTAATGAGCAGTTTATGGCTTTTAAAGGCTGAATGTAGAATAGATGGTTTCCCTTTTTCATAAATTGGTGATGCTAGGCTCGACTTTGCCCTTACCTCTAGTCTTTATGCTAAGCTAAGCTCAACGGGTTCTGCATGTTTCTCTCCTCTGACTCTGGGAGAGAAACTGTCCTGATCGACGTCGCTGCTGTGATTTAAGATTTTGTTGTTCTCTGACAGCTGACCCACATGTGGTTCTTCTCTCGCCTGCAGGTTCTCCAGTTCCTGAAGTGAGCTGGTTTCGTGATGGCCAGGTTCTTTCAACTGCCGCATTGCCCGGCGTTCAGATCTCGTTCAGCGACGGCCGCGCTGTTCTGAGGATCCCCGCTGTGACCGCCGCACACAGTGGGAGATTTTCTGTCAGAGCAACCAATGGAGCTGGACAAGCAACGAGCACCGCTGAACTCCTCGTTACAGGTGAGACACGGGAGGAGGGGCAGGAGAGTGTAAGGTGCTCAGGGGTAGACTCTCTTTGAAATGACCTTTGACTCTTCATTATTTACAACAGAACAAAGTTAACTTAAAACTCTCTCCTTTATTAACTCTTCTTTATTTGAGTCTAAATTAGTCTGGCACTGAGGGGCGTGGCCTGTCACTTAATCTGGTGATAAAACCGATATAGATGCAGCTGTTGCAGCATAGCTTTCCTTAAGAGGGATCTGAAGTTTATGAGGTGATTAACAACATGAACATGATCCTGTTCAGATCTCAGGTCTGAGTCCTGTGACGAAAAGGTCAGACGCCAAACTTTATTCTTCTGTCTTCATCAGTAGATCACACTGAGTTTATCACAGCAGCATATACGGTCATACAACAATACGGTTGCTTTCAGTTTCAGCTCATGCTTCCTTATGCAGCGGCCTTTGACGTAACATTAGGTGTTACCACGGCAACGATAAACATGTTGTGTCTGTCATGGCAGCCGCCGCAACATTATAATAGCTGTTGTAAATATTGATGACTGTTGGAGTATTTTTGTTCCTCAGCTGAAGAAATATCTTGATTGTAATCACGTCACCATAGAAACCAGTTCAATAACACGTTGCTTTGTGACTCTGCAGCGGAGACGGCGCCTCCAAACTTCCTCCAGAGACTGCAGAGCTCGACAGTGAGACAGGGCAGCCAGGTGAGGCTGGACGTCCGTGTGACAGGAATCCCAACACCTGTGGTGAAGTTTTTCAGAGAGGGAGCCGAGATCCAGAGCTCAGCCGACTTCAGGATCCTTCAGGAAGGAGACCTGTACAGTCTGCTGATCGCTGAGGCTTTCCCAGAGGATTCTGGGACTTATTCTGTGACCGCCACCAACAGCAGCGGACGGGCCACCTCCACCGCTGAGCTGCAGGTTCAGGGTGAGGAAGGCTAACTGTCAACACGTTTAACTTAAATATCTACAGTGACTTAACTTACAAATCCACTAATATTTGGCCTGTAACAGCATCATAAAGCATGAGTGTATTATGGTCTGTTTTTGACGTGTGTATGTGGTGCTCCCTGCAGGTGAAGAAGCTGTTCCCATGAAGAAAACAAAGACTATCGTGTCCACATCCCAGATGGCCGCTTCCCAGGCCAGAGTGCAGAAGGTGAGACGAACTAACACAACAACCCGGGTCTGCTCCAGGAGGAAATCTAACAGAAGTGTTTGGTTAAATCTGACGAATAAAAACAGAATCCTTCAAAATCTGGAACAACAGAAAAACTTCTACTGAAGTAAAATCAGATGTTCAGGGAATCATGTGCAGATAAAAGCACGCTTCTTAAAGGAGGAGGGGTTACTACACGGGCCTGATTGGACTTCTGTTACGTCCTTTGAAGAATAGTTTCTCTCTGTTAGGATAAGAAGAACGTTGTATTAGCTTGTTTGTAGTTATGTGATCCCGGTTGGGAATCGTTGGGAGTGAAGGAAAGTGATAACGCGCAGCAGGTAGCATCAGAGCATCTATAAACACATTGGATATGATCCCGACACTTCATAGAGGAGTCCTGCAGACCTGCTACCACTCAGAAAACCGAATAAAAGTGTACAAGAGTCCTGAGGCGCAAAACTACTTGTGTGTGGCTCAACAACCACGGATTGAACAGCGTTGAATGACGGCCATCATGTTTTTTCTCGATGAGTATGTTCACTTGAGCATCGCTGTTTAACTTCAAATTCGCAGCATTAGCATCACGCTATGCAGAGTTTTCCGCTTTGGTGTGTACCGGTATTTATTTAATCCTGATATATAAAGTTATGAAGCAAAATGATTGTAGCCTTAACGTTCAGGAAGTGGTCACTGCATACATAAGCGTTGTCTGACGCCGCTTCTCCAGACTAAAGACGAAGCTTTTTAAATTTCTTTGTCCTTTACGTGTCACTGCTTTCAGGACTCCAAAGAAACTCCTGTATCTTCCCAGCTTTGACCGGTTGACACAAACGTAAACAGCACAAAACTTTAGCACTCTGATTCTGTCCTGTTCTTTGAGATCACATCTTGTTGAATGTTTTGGACCTCTGCTGTGTTATTTATTTAAATCTGAATCACGAGATAAAAACAGCGTGAAGTTTTGTGCCTTGATTCAAAGCCAAAACCTAATCAAAAAGTTTAAGACAGAAATGAATGAACCTTAAACGGATACATCACCTGTTCTTCTATTTTCCCGTCTTCAGAAGGTGGAGGTGGGCTTCCAGGCCACCACCATGATGGAGATGCACGTAGAAGGAGGAATGATGACTCAGCATTTAGCTCACAAAACCCCCCCGCGGGTTCCCCCAAAACCGACCTCCAAATCCCCCCCGTCCTACATTTCCAGGGTGACAGGAGGACGCCAGCAGTCGCCTTCACCTGTCAGACACGTGAAGGGGCCGACGCCCACACCTGTCAGGTACGACCACGGACACAGAGTCAGATTTAACGAGTTCATATCCTTCAGATTTATGTTAGAAGAGCGTTAACTTACTTGCTGATGTGACATTTTTAATGTTTCTGTTGGTTGCAGATCTGTTTCTCCCACCAGCAGAGCGATTATTTCTTCAATCAAACCTGTGAAGTCTCCCATCATGAGTAGGAAACAGGTATGAAGAACATCTTTACTATGAGCAGCCACTTTTATCTGTTATTTATCATTAAAAACTAACCACAAGAGTTGTTCCGCCCTGATCATGACGCCTTCTCTCTCAGGTCTCTTCCTCTCCCGAGGTCCTGCCTCCATGGAAGCAGGGAGGCTACATGGCTGAAGCCAGCTACTCCAGTATGAGCAGCATGACCAGCATGACCAGCATGGCCAGTGTGAGCAGTGCCACCCAGCTGCACATGGAGAAGTCCTGGGAGCAGCAGGTCACGGCCACCAGAGAGGTGAGGAGGGCGGGGCTTGAATATGAGGTGTTCAATGTAAACCTGCATGAGAGCGTTAAGAATCAGAGCATCAGCTGTTTCTGTTTGAAATTCACTTGATTCAGAATAATGAAATATAATAAGAAATATAAAGACTCTACCTGCAGCTGCACTAACTCTGAATGTTGTGAGGTGACTCAGCCGGGGCCGAGCTCTGCCTGTGGGCTGGATGCAGTGAACATGTGTTGATGTGCTGTTGTGCTGTGAATGCGTCAGGATGAGCATGCTTCGCAGGACGATAGGAGCCTGGCGGTGGCTACTGTGGTGGCGTTCGTGGATCAGGCTCGTAGCCGTGGCCCGTCTGAGGCAGCCGTGTCCGGAGAGCAGGTAGACCTCTTCTATCTGCTGCCATCAGTCCACCTGCTGCTCAAACTCTCACTACACCGCTCTTTTTTTACTCCTTCTTTGTTTCCCTTATTTTCTTTATCACGTCAGAGTTTGATTCAACCGAGCACGTTCCTTCTCCCCAGAGGATGAACCTTTTTTAACAGCCCAGTCATCTGCCTTCTCTCTTCAGGAGGTCCTTTCATGTTTTATTTCCACTTGTTTTATGCCTAAATCGTCACATGTAGGTGATATAAACCAAGATTTTCCCGTTAAACTAGAGGGCGATTTTAGAAAAGTTCAACTCTTCAGACATCTTGGATACCAATGCTACAATTTTAAAGAAAAGCTGAAAGCCTAAACTGTCAAAAGGCTTCATGACTTTTTTAAAGCAGCTCTGTCTTTGCATATTATATTATCCATGATTGCCTTTGCAGCCTAAACTGTGCACCTAAACCTGCAAAAACCACAAAATACCATCAGGGTAATACATTTAAAAAATAGACGTCACTGGTTGGTTTCTTTCAAATTTCAACTCATTAATATTTTCTGTGATAATTGAGACATAGAAGAGGGTATCATCTGCATAGCGATTGAGGTAAACGGAAACTGTAGTCATGTGGTATCATTAAACTAAAACTAAAGTGGTAAAGGTATTGAGCCTTGTGGGACGCCACATTAAATTAGTTACATAAACCAGCTTCACTTTATGTTTCTGTTTCAGTATTGAACATTTATTAAATGTCAACATTAAACTGAAAAGAGTTTTTCATCTACCTGTTTTATTTTATTTTAAATTTGTGCACGGAAACTTAACAACATCTATACTTCACTCATACGTTTTCATGCATCTTGGAGGATTATTTTTCTCAAATTTAGGGTTAAATCACTGATTGGTAACATCTTAGGATTTCTCTGCTGCCGCTTTGTTCAGTTAGTTCTCAGAGTAAAAAACACCCAGGATTAAACTGCTGCAAACACATCTCATTATGTCACTTCATTCTCGAGCAATTCCAAAGCTTTCTACCTTCTAGTCGTTATAAATCCAGAATATGTTCAAAATTACCAGAATGTCCCTAAAAGTCTGAAGTCAATCTTTCTTCATTGTTTTGTTCATCTTCTCTTCTCTTTACTGTTTCAGAGGTTAATCTGCATGTCGCACTCTGATTCTGCACGATGCATGTCGTTATGTTTCAGTGATGACTATGTTATGACTTCTTCTCCTCTTTTATAAATAATGTGAAAGTTTTTCCTCTGTCAGCATCTTCTCCCAGACTTCCTTCTGTGGATGTCCTGAGGTTTTCATACTGCTTTTGTGTCTCCAGGCCGAGGGAGGGATGAAATCCGGGGCGGTGGCCACAGTGGTGGCTGCCGTTGACCTGGCTCGAGTCCGTCAGCCCGTGCATGATGAGGGTGCTCAGGCTGGCGAGGAGGAGGCAGTAGAGGCTGAGATTAGACAGCAGGCGACTGTAGAGAAAGAAGTTGTTGCCATGAAAACACTTCCTGTTGAAGCTCCAGCTGCTGTGGCTGTGACCTCAGAGCAGCGCAGAGTCCAGGTCTCACAGGTCTCACAGGTCCGAGGAGTTTAATGAATCATATAAGATCTCTCATATCTCCGTTTTCTCACATGCTAAATAAACTCTGTTGGTCACCCCAGATTCAGAGAACAGAAATCCCCCCCCAGGTGGACACTGGTGCCGCTCCATCTCCAGTTCCACATTTCACAGTTTCTAAAGTTTCTGTTCCTAAACATGAACTGAGCCCCGAGGTAAGGAGGAAGAGCTGCAGGCCGCCGCCGTCATCATCCTCAATCCTCCATTTCATTCTTAACACACGAAAACATCTTAACCGTCTCCACTGTGTCGTCATGTGGTGTGATTCACTTTGGTTTCCTCCTCACAGTATCACCCATCCTAAAATATCACGGTTAGGCTATGACTAATCACGACCAGTAGCTGCAGCTTTTAGAGACAAAAATTGAAAATTCAATGTTGTATCAAAGTTATCAAATTTAGCTTTCAGTTTTAGGGTTCACACTTTTTGCATAAATTGGAGTTTGGATCAAGTTACAACAAATTAATAACTTCAAATCATCTTTTCTCCTTCAGTTTAGGCACCACATGTTGGTTTTTATAATATCTCTGTTAGAGCTGAATGACTTGAAAAAATGATCAATGAGTCTCTGATGATTAAAATATGGTGAACAGAATCTTTGTCAGGAGGACTTTACCTCAGTGTTTGTAGACCTCTTACCCCGACCCTGCTTCCACTTTTTAAACTTTGATTCCTTCTCTAACTTTAAGAACATCACATCCTCCGGCTCACATATCCTCAGCTGGTCGTTTGGAGGATTTGTTTAACGCTGCTCTCATTGGTTCGATCAGGTGTCCATCTCCGGCTCTGCTATCGCCACTCTGCAGAAAGAGTTGCGATCCCCCACCTCCCCCAGAAAGATCATCAAGCCCGTCAAGTCTCCCAGTCCGTCTCGCAGGGTGGCGGTGGAGGTGCGGGTGACTCCGGAGCCCCTCCCCCCACCGTTCAAAGACGTCAGATATCAGAGTCAGTTTGAGGTACAGGCGGGCGGAGCTTACGCTGTGAGTGAGGAGGAATTTGAGGACTGGGAGCCACAGGTTGGTTCAACCCCCTCTCGCTCTTTTACACTCCAATTTAACCCTGTGTGGACATCACATGCGTTCCTGCTCCTCACAGCAGCCAATCACATGCTGCCCTCCCTAGCCTCATGAAGAATCTTCCTCCTCCTCTCCTTCTTCATCTTCCTCTCCCTGTCTCCACCTGTTGGCCTTCATCCCTCCGTCCTCTCTGCAGGGTTCTTTCCGTTCTAACCAGCTTCCTCCCCTCCATCCTCACAGTCCTGCTCCGCTGAGAAGCTCCTGCTTGTGTTCTGTGTTTGATTTCCTTTAACTCGCTTTGTTCTTCCTCAGGAGGCTGCTGCTGTGCCCACCAGAGCTCAGGAGCCTGTTGTCCCCCCCACTCTGATTGCTGTGAGTACTTCCTGTTTTTCTCTTCCACACTATTAGTGTTTTGATACACAGATTAGGAGGAATCACCGAGGTTTGCAAACAGAGTTTTTATCCAGCTGCAGTTCCTTGAGTGTCCACTAGGTTTAGAGTCTGGTTCAAGGTCTCCTCACTTTGTTTGCTCACACTCTCCAGGATGAACTCTTAAACATGAAGCTTTGGTCTGACTCTGTAGTCTTTCATGTTTTTCAGGGTCTGAAGAACGCAACAGTGACGGAGGGCGAGTCGGTGACCCTGGAGTGTCAGATCAGTGGTCATCCCGCTCCAACCATCCTGTGGTTCAGAGAGGACTACAAGATTGAGAGCTCCATCGACTTCCAGATCACATACATGAACGGATTTGCCCGGATGGTGATCCGTGAGGCGTTCGCTGAAGACAGCGGACGCTTCACCTGCACTGCCACCAGCGAGGCCGGAACCGTCAGCACCTCCTGCTACCTGCTCGTCAAAGGTAAATAAGATGAAGGTCGACTGAGCTATTCTAGTATGACCTTTAATCTTTTATTATTTATCTCTAGGAAGTTTAGGCCAGGAATCTTAAAACTGTAAATGTGAGTTTTAAAAAATGTTGTCTGTCTTCAAAACATTAATGAGACTTTTTTCTGTTTTAGTTTCAGAAGAAATCGAGAGCAGAGAGGAAATGACAACCGTCACTGAAATTGGAATCAGTCAAGAGAAAATGTGAGTTTTAATCTTAAATTCAGACGCTTTAATAAAACATTTGAGGTCCCTCAGTGTTTGATCAAGCTGTTTTTTCTCTTCAGTGTTGCTATGGAGACAAAAGAGCAGATGGTGTCGGAGGTGAGCTCAGGTGAAGCTGCTGCTCCCTTCTTCATCAAGAAACCCACCGCTCAGAAGCTGGTGGAGGGAGGAAGTGTGTTCTTTGAATGCCAGATCGGAGGAAACCCCAAACCTCACATCATCTGGAAGAAGAGCGGCGTGCCGCTCACTACTGGATACAGGTACACATGTCCCACCTGTCTCTGTTCACACCTGCACACCTAGCTACTGCACTTACTTCACTTGTATTTCTTTGTTTCTTTTACCATCAGATATAAAGTTGCCTACAAGAAGGAGACCGGAGAATGCAGATTGGAGATCTCCATGACTTTTGCTGATGATGCCGGTGACTACTCTGTGTTTGCCAAGAATACACATGGAGAAGCCTCGGCCATCGCCAGCCTGCTGGAGGAAGGTACGGGAGTCTGTTTCAGAATGCATCTCCTCTTTAGAAAACCATTTATAGCTCTGTTGGCTCACAGTATTCATGCATCTGTTTACAGAGCAATATGAAGTCTACATGAAGCAACAAGATATGACATATAAAACTGAAGTGCTGACGACGGTAGTTCAGGAGCCCTCTGTGGTTGTGAGTCAGTATGAGCTCGAACAGAGGAGAGTGACGACCCCCATGAGCTTTGTCTCAGAAACGGTACCTTCTTTCTCAACATTCAAAGTTTGATGAGAAAAGGTTCTGCAGAAGTCTCATTTTAGATGTTAAACATGAAAACTCTTTCTGCAGGAATTTCTTATTTCAGCCTTTGAAGAGAGGATCATCCAGGAGATCGAGCTCCGCATCTTGAGGATTACATACAGCGAGCTGGTGATAGAGGACGGAGAGATGATGGTGACTGTTGCTGAGGAGGCGGCGCTGCAGCCGGCCTTCGACACGCCAGTGAAAAACTACAGAATCATGGAGGGAATGGGCGTCACGTTCCACTGCAAGATGGGTGGAAACCCACTCCCAAAGGTACTGACCAGAACATCTTACCAAAATAAAATCGGTTATAAAAACCTAGCAAACCACTTTACCAATCCAGATCAAAACACACAATCTCATCAACAAGATATACGTTTTTCTGTAAATATGTTTAAAGTCTTTCTAACGACTGAGTCAGAGTTAATTCTGCAATGGTGCTTAAAGATCTTCCTCAAGACTAAAATCTTTGCAAGACCTGAAATTGAGAACTTATGTAGGTGAACAAAATGATTGTTTCTTCTGTCAGATTGCGTGGTACAAAGACGGCCAGCGTATCAGGGCTGGTGGACGTTACCAGATGGAGGTTCTTCAGGACGGACGAGCCAGTCTTCGTCTCCCTGTGGTGCTTCCAGAGGATGAAGGTGTGTACACTGCCTTCGCATCCAACATGAAGGGAAACGCTGTCAGCTCTGGAAAGCTCTACATCGAGCCGTCTGGAGCTGTGACACCTCAGAGATACACACCACAGCCAGCGATGCAGAGAATCAGGTAAGGTTGAATGTAATCTCACAATGACTCTTTAACACGTTTCAGTCAGGTAGTACCCTCAGCTTAACCACCAACATGATACTGATGGTTCTCCTTTGTCCTCAGGTCCGCATCTCCTCGTTCTGTGAGCCGCTCTCCTGGACGTTCTCCCAGCCGTTCTCCTGGACGCTCTCCTGCCAGAAGGCTTGATGAGACAGACGAGGCTTCCCTGGAGAGACTCTACAAGCCTGTGTTCGTCATGAAGCCTTCCTCAATAAAATGCTCTGAGGGGCAAACTGCACGATTCGACTTAAAGGTTGTCGGCAGACCCATGCCCGAAACTTACTGGTTCCACAACGGTGAGATAAGTTGTTTGATGTATCCTAGAAAAGCTCCTGTTTCTGTTTCCTCTGCCACTTACACCCAAGTGTCCTCCGTTTCTCAGGACAACAAGTCGTCAATGACTACACCCACAAGATAGTGATCAAAGAAGACGGTACCCAGTCCCTGATCATTGTCCCAGCCATGCCTCACGACTCTGGAGAGTGGACCGTCATCGCTCAGAACAGAGCTGGGCGGACCTCTGTCTCTGTAACTCTTACTGTTGATGGTAAGTCTGTGCCAGATGCAGTCCTTTAAACATCCAAAAACTGGAATTATGTGTTAGCTAGTCTGAGCTAGTCGTTTGAGTTCACTTATCCGACCACACTGAGTCTTGTCCTGTTTTGCATCGCTCCATCAACAGCTCGAGAAAGCCTGGCCCGCCCTCAGTTTGTAGAAAAGCTGAGGAACATCACTGTGAGGCAAGGCACTCTGGTTGAGTTGGCTGTCAAAGCCATTGGAAACCCCCTACCTGACATCGTCTGGCTTAAAAACAGTGACATCATCACCCCACAGAAACACCCCCATATCAAGTATGTATCTTCAAATTCAGATGTGAATGCTAAAGTGATCCTACAGAGAGTAGCTGTCCTGATTATTTTGTCTGAATTGTTTCGTACTTTAGGATTGATGGAACAAAAGGAGAGGCCAAATTCCAGATCCCGTCTTCCACAAGCACAGACAGCGCCTGGTACACTGCTACAGCCATCAACAAGGCTGGCAGGGACACCACTCGCTGCAGAGTCAATGTTGAGGTTGACTTTGCTGCTCCTCAAGCTGAGAGGAAGCTCATTATTACAAAAGGAACGTACAAAGCTAAAGACATCGCTGCTCCAGAGTTGGAGCCCCTTCATCAGCGATACGGTCAAGAGCAGTGGGAGGATGGCGACCTTTACGACAAAGAGAAGCAGCAGAAACCAATGTTCAAGAAGAAGCTGACCTCTATCAGAATGAAGCGCATTGGTCCCGCTCATTTTGAGTGCAGACTGACTCCCATTGGTGACCCATCCATGGTGGTGGAGTGGCTGCATGACGGCAAACCGCTGGCAGCTGCTAACAGACTGCGCATGGTCAATGAGTTTGGTTACTGCAGTCTCGACTATGAGGTTGCTTATGCTAGAGACAGTGGTGTCATCACCTGCAGAGCCACAAACAAGTTTGGAGTCGACCAGACCTCGGCCACTTTGATTGTCAAGGATGAGAAGGGCCTTGTGGAGGAATCCCAGCTTCCTGAAGGCAGGAGGGCACCGCACAGAATGGACGAGATTGAGCGCATGGCTCACGAGGGAGGACCTACAGGAGTCAGCACTGACGATGAATATGAGAAGACAAAACCTGATATTGTCCTTGTTCCCGAACCAGCCAGAGTATTGGAAGGCGACATTGCCAGATTCCGTTGCAGAGTGACCGGCTATCCAGCCCCTAAGGTTAACTGGTACCTCAACGGACAACTTATCCGCAAAAGCAAGAGATACAGACTTCGCTATGATGGTATTTACTACTTGGAGATTGTTGACATCAAGTCTTATGACTCTGGAGAGGTCAGGATCGTTGCAGACAATCCTCTAGGTACAACTGAGCACACTGTGAAGCTGGAGATCCAGCAGAAGGAGGACTTCAGATCTGTACTGCGCCGTGCTCCAGAGTCCAAGGCCGCAGAAGCCTCACATGAAGGTGGCAGGACCGGATTCGATGTTGTGAAAGTAGACCGACCTGTCGAAACTGCACAAGACAGGGAAGTTGTTAAACTGCGTAAGACACAGAGAGTTGTTCACGAGAAAACCTCAGAGGAGACAGACGAACTGAAGAGCAAGTTCAAACGTAGGACAGAGGAGGGCTTCTACGAGTCCATCTCTGCTGTAGAGTTCAAGTCTCGCAAGAGAGACGACTCATATGAGGATCTCCTGAAGAAGACCAAGGATGACTTGCTTCATCACTTGAAGGAGAAAGAAGAAGCTGAGAGGAGGAGGTTGGAGGAACAGGGCCAAGTCACCATCCCAACCTTTAAACCCGAAAGGGTCCAGCTGTCCCCCAGCATGGAAGCACCCAAGATCTTTGAGCGCATTGCTAGCAAGACAGTTGCTCCAGGGGATGAGGTTCATTTCCGCGTCAGAGTCGTCGGCAGACCAGAACCTGAGTGCCAGTGGTTCAAGAACGGCGTTCTGGTGGAGAAATCTGACCGTATTTACTGGTACTGGCCTGAGGATCAAGTGTGTGAGCTGGTGATCAGAGATGTCACTGCGGAGGATTCTGCCAGCATCATGGTGAAAGCCATGAATGTCGCTGGTGAGGCCTCAAGCCATGCCTTCCTGCTGGTGCAAGGTAAAGCCACTTCCTCTCAAGTTAAAGACTATCTATGTCCTCATTTATGTCAAAGTCTAACTACATATGTTGTCATTGCAGCCAAGGCAGCGGTCAGCTTCACCCAAAACCTGGAGGATGCTAGTGCGAACGAGAAGGACACCATGGTGACCTTTGAGTGTGAAACCAACGAGCCTTTCGTCAAAGTGAAATGGCTGAAGAACAACATGGAGATCTTCTCTGGAGACAAATACAGAATGCACTCAGACAGAAAGGTCCACTTTCTGTCTGTGCTCGTCATTGAAATGAAGGACGATGCTGAGTACAGTTGTGTGGTTATAGAAGATGAGAGCATCAGGACCACAGCAAGGCTCCATGTTGAAGGTAACATGTACTCTTTGTATGTGACTGTTCTTTGGTTGTATTCAGCTGGATTTGCAAGCCACCGTTCTTGATATCTTTCTGTACACAGGTGCTGCCCTGGAGCTCATAAAGCACATGGAGAACATCGAGGTGCCAGAGACCTACGCTGCAGAGTTTGAGGTGGAGCTGTCTCGTGAGGATGTTGAGGGCAGCTGGTTCTTTGGAGACAAGGAGCTCTCTCCCAGCAGTAAATACATCATGTCCTCCCGACGTGGACGACACACCCTGTCCATCAAGGATGTCAGGAAAACAGACCAGGGGAAATATACCTTTGTATGTGGAGATCTGAAGACGAGCGCCTCACTGAAGATGAAGTGTAAGCAACCATATTGATTACTGATTTATCTCAAGCCACTGGTAGTCTTCTGGTCCAGAAGTCTCTTCAAGAATTTATCGATATGCCTCTCGTTAATTTGTAATGTTTCCTATCACACTTAATTAACGAGTCCAAAGATGATGAAGCTCTATCATCACCTTTCCAATATCTTTACTAAAAGAGAATCTAATGGTAAAGGATTTGTGTAAGTTCAAATATTCTTTTAAATTCGACAGTCATTGCTGGATGTAGTGTGACAGTCTTTGCTGGCTTTAGGGTATATGAAGGTACTGGCTACTGTATTACTCATTGCTGACTTAGAGTAGAAATGTTTGCTACAGCTTGTAACACAACATTCAAATTGGGCCCTGCCTCCTGGGCTCATCGCCACAAGTAGCATTCGCCCACTGCAGGGTTAGCGTTAACGTTTTCTGATTTTACCTACACTACAAGCTACCTGCCATTGCTGGCTGTAACGTATCAGACGTTGCTAGCTCTACTGTACTGTGATGCTAATGGAGTGTGCCTACTTTTAGTGCGCCCAGTGACCCTGATGCAGCCCCTGACCGACATCACAGTTTGCGAGGGGGACATTGCTCAGCTGGAGGTCCGGTTCTCCCAGGAGAACGTTGAGGGAACCTGGATGAAGAGCGGCCAGGCCATCACTGCTTCGGACCGCGTCCACATCGTGATCGACAAGCTTGTTCATAAGCTACTGCTCGAGAACGTCAGCAGAGACGATGCTGCTTCTTACTCTTTTGTGGTTCCTGCCCAGGACATCTCCACCTCCGGCAAACTCAGTGTTCAGAGTAAGTCTCTAAACGATAACCAGCTCAAATCCATTACTGGAACACACTGATTGCTGACGCGTTTGATGCCGTCTTTTCTTACAGCTATTGACATTGTGGTACCACTGAAGGACCTGTCCTCCATCGAGGGAACAAAGGCCGTTCTGGAGGCTAAGATCTCCGCTCAGGACATCAGCTCTGTTAAATGGTACCACAACGACAAACTGCTTGTGGCCTCTGACAGAATCCAGATGGTGGCAAAGGGAGCCAAGCAGCGTCTGGTCTTCAGCAGGACTTTCGCCTCCGATGAAGGACGCTACAAACTGGTGGTCGGCAAGGTCGACACAAGCTGCAGCCTCAGTGTCGAAAGTAAGACTGATTTTATTCTACTACGCTTCTGTTCAAATCCCGACTCCACTTCCTTGTTCTGACCATGTTTATGTTTTCACAGAGGTCCACATTGTGAAGCACATGGAGGACAAAGTGTGCTCCGAGTCCCAGAACGTCACATTTAACGTGGAAGTCTCTCACCCTGGCATTGACCCAGTCTGGACCTTTAGGAGCCAGAAGCTCAAACCTGGACCCAAATACAAGATGGAGTCCAAAGGCAAGGCTCATTCTCTGACTGTCAGCGACGCCATGAAGGACGAGGAAGGCCAGTACATGTTCCACGCCGGAGAAAAGACATCCAGTGCCAAGCTCACCGTCTCTGGTATGTCTAAACCTTGCAAGAGATTTGAGCTAATGCACAACAAACAAAGATTATGCTGCTCTGTTGCACCAGAATCGTAAAGTTTTTCCCTTGTGTTGCTACCAGGTGGAGCCATCACACGCCCCCTGCAGGACGTAACTGTGGCCGAGTCACAGACAGCCGAGTTTGAGTGTGAAGTGGCCAACGCCAATGCTGAGGGCCGATGGCTGAAGGAGGGTCAGGCTGTGGACTTCAATGAGAACGTGGTGAGCGAGGTGAACGGCGCTGTCAGACGCCTCATCATCGTCATTACCAGACCTCAGGACGTCGGAGAGTACACCTACCAGGTGGCCAACTCAAAAACTGCAGCCAACCTCAGGGTCGAGGGTACGTACCTCCGTCTTTTATTTGAGGCCTTGGCCGTGACGACAATTAAGTTAAAACAAAAGACTAAGTTAATCAGTTAAACACTGAGTCCTGTGTTTCCATGTGCAGCTGTGAAGATCAAGAAGACTCTGAGGAACCAGACGGTGACGGAGACCCAGGAGGCTGTGTTCACGCTGGAGCTCACCCATACCGACGTGAAAGGATCCCAGTGGATCAAGAACGGCGTGGAGCTGCAGAACAGCGATAAGTACGAGATCACCTCTGAAGGCATGGTGCAAACGCTGAAGGTGAAAAACTGCAACACACAGGACGAGTCTGTTTACTCCTACAAACTGGGGAAACTGTCGGCCAACGCCAGGCTGAACGTGGAGAGTGAGTACCGCTGACTTACTGAAGAGTTAAAGGAAATGCTTGGATGTGGTTATTAATTTATCCCCTTGTCTCCACAGCCATCAAAATCGTGAAGAAGATAAAGGACATGACGTCACTGCTGGACGGCACCGTCTCCTTCGAGATGAGCCTGTCGCATGACAACATCCCTGTCAGGTGGATGTTTAACGGCGTGGAGCTCAAGTCAAGCGAGAAGTGTAAAATTCTGTCTGAGCGGAAAGCTCACAAACTGATCCTGCAGAACGTCAACAGCAGCAACGGGGGAGAGTACACCGCCGTGGTCGGACACCTGCAGTGCAGCGCCGCACTCACTGTGGAGGGTACGTTATGATGATGATTTAAATAAATGATTTATCGTAAAATCCGGAATATAAGACGCACCCTGTTTTGAAGGTCTCTTAGAGATTTTTTTTTTTTAAACAGTCTTCTGGCGTGACGATTTATATTGTGTTCAGAGATGTCTACAATGTGTCGCTCTTTTAGTCCCGTCTGTTTTCATTTTTGGGAGTTTGCACTCCTACTAGCTACAGTACGATAGTTGAGCTCTCAGCCTGCAGGTAAAGTTGTGAGGCACAGACTCCTAGCTTGCGAGCTGCGCTGCCCGACTCCGCTGGTCACTCTTTAACTTTAATATAGGACTCTTTAAATCAAAAGAGTACTCCACAATGTTTATTTAAGGAACAACATACCACTGTTTTCTGTAAATGCATGATTATGACCTCATGTGGGAGAAAATATGTAAAAAAAAGTCGCGCAGCCAGCCTGGTCTGTGTCGCCGTCTTTTCCAGCACAGCGTGCAACCAGCTTTCAATACACAATGAATGGGGATGGGTTTTTAATCACGGCAGGTCGCAGTTAGTGGCTACTGCACCCGCGGTAATGACAGGGGGTGTTTCAGTATTTTATACTGGTATATTGGTCGCACCGGTGTATAAGACGCAGCCAAAGACGAAAAAATAGGTATTAAAAGTGCGTCTTATACACCGGATTTTACAGTAAGCGATAATAAGAGCGGTTAGAAAGTTTGAAAGTAGAAATCTATAATCTGTCATCAATCTTTTTTTAATTTGAATTTTTAGCCAACTTTCCAGATGAAAAAACTATCCCAGGTTTCATGTCAAAAAACTGTTAAAATTTCATTTAAAATAAATGTTTGCATGTTTTTGGCTGTTTTAAAAGTTGTTGTAATTCAAAACGAAGTTGTTCTTATTGGTCCTCTGTGTCTCTACAGCTCTGCATGTCACCAAACCCCTGAAGAGCGTGGAGGTCCCAGAGACTCAGGTGGCCACGTTCGAGTGTGAAGTGTCTCACTTCAACGTGCCGTCCACCTGGCTAAAAGATGGCGTGGAGATCGAGATGAGCGAGAAGTTCAGGATCGTGGTTCAAGGGAAACTCCACCAGCTGAAGATCATGAACACCAGCAGGGACGACTCCGCAGAGTACACCTTCGTCTGCGGGAACGACCGAGTGTCCGCTACGCTAACAGTTAGCCGTAAGATTGGGTTTAAGATTGGGTTAAAGTCACTAACTAAATAAAAAATCATCTAACCCTGAGAGATGTGTCTCAAAGTGTTTATTTGCAAACATCCTGAAATATTCTGAATATTTGGATGAGTGGGAGCATCACAGTTTCATAACGGTTGATTAAAAACATTGACACATTTTATACAATCAGGAAGCAGACAGAATAATTAAATAACTCTAAAGATTATGACTCATCAGGAAAATAGAATTAGCAGGAAACAAGTTAATTCTTGGAGAAATTGTGATTTCAATTATCTTGTTTTCTACTTTTTAAAATGTTGCATCACGTTATTTATTTTTAAGTATTAACCCTTTTTTTGTTAAAATAAGACAAGAAGCAGCTTTAGAGTCCTGGAAGCTTTTTTCCTGTGATTTGAAAATGATTAAGTTTACGAAAATTATTAAAGCTGCCATATTTATGCCCCTGTGACGTCTCGCCTTAAGTCTGATGCCCTTTTCATTTTGTCGCAAAGGTGCCGTAATTAAGCTCAGTCGTTATCACGTCTTGATAGTACGTTCATATTGATTCCATGACAGTGTAATATTGGTGTTCCAGTCTGTGAGGTCACATTGCGTTGTGGCGTTGCAGAAGCTCCACATACACACACACAGCACTGCGCTCCCGCCTCTCCTCTGTAATGCCTCTGTTACCACCTCTGAAGACGGTACAGAGGGGGGGCGGGGGTCACTGCGTCCCCCGGGTACACCTCCATGCCATTCAGATTGAATGAGAAATGTCACAGGGGCGTAAATATCACGGCTTGAAACGGCGATCTGAACAGGGCCAGTATGTATGTTGCTGAGGTGTGATTGGGAGACGAAGTGACCCCCCCCTCTGTATCGTCTTCAGAGGTAGTAACAGAGGCGTTACAGAGGAGAGGTGGGATCAGATGAGCCAGCGGGGGAGAGTAGTGATGTGTGTATGCATGTCTGACTGTGTGGATGTGGAGCTCCTGCTGTGCCGTGCCTTCCACCATGCCGAAAGTCGATGTGACCTCACAGACTGAGACGCCATTATTACGCCGTCAGCAGTAACGTTTAATCTGTTGTTATGAAGATAGTCTGGTGTGTTTGTAGAGCATGAACAAAAAGGTCTCTCTACAGGGATCCTTTCTGTGATGATGTCACACTTAAAATAACAACCGGAGCCTGCCAGGGACAAAAACAATAACTTTGGTTACACTTTGATCCATGGAAGATTATGTTGCAGACGTTACAGTCTGTTTACCTGCTGCAGACGTAACAGTCTGTTTACCTGCTGCAGACGTTACAGTCTGTTTACCTGCTGCAGATGTTACAGTCTGTTTACCTGCTGCAGATGTTACAGTGTGTTTACCTGCTGCAGATGTTAAAGCCTGTTTACCTGCTGCTGATGTTACAGCCTGTTTACCTGCTGCAGACGTTACAGCCTGTTTACCTGCTGCAGACGTTACAGCCTGTTTACCTGCTGCAGACGTTACAGTCTGTTTACCTGCTTCAGACGTTACAGTCTGTTCACCTGCTGCAGTCGTTACAGCCTGTTTACCTGCTGCAAACAGTCTGGTACTGTAACGTCTGCTAACCTGCTGCAGTCGTTACAGCCTGTTTACCTGCTGCAGACATTACAGCCTGCTTACCTGCAGACGTTACAGTCTGTTTATCTGCTGCAGACATTACAGTTGGTCGGAGTTAGAGAAGCTTCCTAACTTTTAAAAATGGAGCACGGTATTTTTGGTATTTTTAAAACACTTTTTCTAACAACACATAACAAACCAGTATTTCAGTGTTTCCATATTTGACCGCCCTGTCCCCTCCTCTCCAGCCGTCCTCATCACGTCCATGCTGAAGGACCTGAACGCTCAGGAGAGAGACACCATCACCTTTGAGGTCACCGTGAACCACGAGGGGATCACCTACAAGTGGCTGAAGAACGGCGTGGAGGTGAAGTCTTCGGAGAGGTGTCAGGTCCGCAGCCGGCAGCTCACACACTCCCTCACCATCCGGAACGTTCACTTCGGAGACGGAGGAGAGTACCAGTTTGTGGCCGGGTCTGCCGCCACCACCGCCAACCTGTTTGTGGAAGGTAACCTGATGATTGACATGTTTACAGTGAGCGTGTTTCTGACACGGGTCAGGGAATAAACTTATTTAAGAACTTAACTAAATAGAAATTATTTAGACATTTAAACTTTAATAGATTATTTTTGCGCATGAAAGAGCACCCGAGCATTTGGGGGTTTGGTGCTGAAGGGCACCTCTGCAGTGCACAGGAAGTGAACTGGCATTTCTCCAGTTACCAGACTCAGTTCCATACTTTGACTCTCCAGTTACCAACCCAAGTCCAAACAGACTAACTAGGCCCCTCGTTCACCCTTGTTTTAGAACGAGCTTTATCCGCTTTGTGTTTCTCCTCACTGTGATTATATTTTCTCTCTTTGCTGCTACATCCACGCCCGTCATATTCACCGTTTTGAATCACGTCCAATTACTGAATTCTATCCTATCTTAAACTCACCTGCTGCGCTGTCATGGCTGGAGGAAACACACCAGCTCCTCCCAGAAATGTCCTAAGTCAACCAGAACAAACCAGAACAGTAAAATCCAGTCAGAGGACAGGGTCTCTGCAGACACAGTCACCACCACACATGTATGGAGGCCCAGAAGGGACGATGGAGCAGCTTTACTTTAGGAGAAGTCTGTATTTTATTTTGAAGGAACAAGCTGCTGACTCTGTCTTTAAGTACAAACTCTTTGCTGCAGACTATTCAGTCACATGATTCCTGAAACTTGTGTTTGTTTTCAGCGCGTCTTATCGAATTCACAAAGAAAATCAAAGACATAAAGATCACGGAGAAGAAGAAGGCGATCTTTGAGTGTGAAGTTTCTGAGCCCAACATTCAGGTGATGTGGATGAAAGACGGGCAGGAGCTCGACATGACGCAGGAAAGGTGTGTGACCTTTCATAAACCGCCCTCTTTATCTTCTATGAACAGAGATATCATAAAACATCTAAACATGACTCTGTCTCTCAATGTGTTCAGGTTCACCGTGACAGCAGAGAAGTACGTCCACCGTCTGATGATCCAGACGGTTCGGATGTCTGACGCTGGAGAATATTCCGTGGTCGCTGGATCGAGCGTCTCCAAGGCTCAGCTGATCGTCGAGGGTCGAGACATCCGGATCTCGGAGCCTGCAGAGCGCGAAATCACCGTGAGAATGACATTTGAGATGTTTTGTTTAGTTTTTGTTCTTATTTGTAAAATGAAACTTTTCTAATTAGAAACATTTTTATTATTTGACTCAAATAACAACAAAAACAGATTGAATTATTATACTCCTTCAGTCCCAGGCTGAGGTTTCAAATCAGTTGGACAAGATTGCTACGGAACAAGCAATATTTAGAGTATTTTTAAAGGATCAATCAGTAAGATGTGTATTGAGTGAAATGATAAAGTGACCTTACTATATGATCAGACATTAAGGAAACATGCTATGTTGAAGTGCTGGCTTCTCTGACAACAATGCAGCAGCCATTATGTCCTCCTTCTAACTTTAGATTCTGGTCCTGAATGCTCTGGATTTGTTTGGTCCAGAGAAAGAAGGAGGTTTTAAGGCCCCCCAAAATGGCCATTTTGGGGGGCAGAAACGTGCTTAAACTAGGATCAATATTGGAGATGCTTTTGAAAAATGGAGAGAGGTTAGAACGCAGAAAGGTTTACAGACCGATGCAGAGCTGGCTAAAGCTTTAGTGTCCACCATGAGCATCGACTCTAGAGAGGGGGGGTTCTCTACAATGTTTGAATTTAGACTGCAGTACCCGCTTTAAACAGTAGGGGTCAGTTACATATTGCTGACTTTAGTGACTACAATGAAACCCAGACTTCAGGAAGCATCAATCCGACCCGTGACTCTCTCTCTCTCCTGTAGGTTCTGGAGCGCCACAGAGCAACGTTCGAGTTTGAAGTGAATGAGGACGATGTGGAGGGTCGCTGGCTGAGGAACGGGGCGGAGATCCAGTTCTCGGTGGAGGAGAGGTTCAACTATGCCACCATCAGGAAGCTGCACCGCCTCACCATCTCTGAGACATACAGGAGCGACGCCGGCGAGTACACCTTCATCGCCGGCAAGAACAGGAGCACCATGCACCTCCGAGTTAACCGTGAGTCCAAAATAAGAACGGATAAGAATAAGAATAGAATAGAACGGATGTTTGTTGCCGCCCAAATGACGTCCTCTGCTGGTCGACTGTTGGTATGACATGTATCTAAAGATCAAAACTTAAAGGATCTGTTGACATGTTTCCCCTCTCCTCCCTTCAGTCCCCGAGCCTCCTCAGATCCTCCGTCACATGGAGCCTCAGTCTGTGGAGGCAGGTAAACCTGCTCGCTTCTCCGTGCAGGTGAGTGGCCTTCCTCAGCCGCAAGTGTTCTGGTACAAAAACTCCCAGGCTCTGTCCCCGGGCTTCAAGTGCAAGTTCCTTCACGACGGCAACGAGCACTCGCTGCTGCTGATCGAAGTCTTCCCCGAGGACGCCGCCGTCTACAACTGCGAGGCCAAGAACGAGTACGGCACCGCCACGAGCACCGCCACGCTCAACGTGGAAGGTAAGACCGGAGGAAAGAAACAGCGACAGGAGGAGATTTTAAATCATCAGAACATATGAAGAAACATGTTTGTTTGTCTTTTAGTGTCGGAGGTGGTGTCTCCAGACTCGGCTGCCACCGTCGCTCCTCCCGTTGTCATCTCACCGATCACCAGTACCTCCGCCTGCGAGGGAGAACCGGCTCGCTTCCAGTGCAGAGTCCGCGGAGACGGTAAGCCCGATAAACAGGACGCTTTAATATCAGCACAGTTTGCTCTTCTGTCTGATAAAAACAAACTTTGTTCTCTCCTCTGTGCAGACGTGAAGATCAGCTGGTTCCACAGAGAGAAGGAGATCAAGCAGTCAGACTTCTTCAGGATGTCTCAGTTTGACGACAGCTGCCAGCTGGAGATCTCCAGAGTTTACCCTGAGGACGAGGGCGAGTACACCTGCGTCGCCATGAACAACGCTGGCACTGCTACCTGCTCTGCCACTCTCACACTGGACGGTAAGTTTGGCCACTGTTCGGTCGGGCACTAGTCTTTTTACCTTGTGAATCATGTGGACGCCTTCTTTTCTTTGATCCTGCTCCTCCTCATCGAGACTCTTTCAGGTTCATTTAGATAAATGAAAGCTAACGTTTCAAAAAGACTTTAAGACGCCATGTGTGGTTGGCGAGTTCAGAGGTTTGAATGACGAATGTATGACTTAGGGTTTTGGGTACTGATCTCGTTTGATTTCTGTCACTCATGATAAATAACAACGACTTGTGTTGTCATGGAGCAGGTGGTGACGCCGTCTTTATGACAGATAATAAAAAACATGGAGGTTCTTCTTAAAGATCAAAGTGTTCTGACTGACGAGTGAAACACAAAGCCAATGAGAATGCTTCTTTCCAGGAAAAAGTCAGAGCGAGGAGAGTCGTGCTGTGTCTCAGTGGCACGTCTCGACCAGCATCACCAGTCTAAGGAAACCGTCCATCGGCCAAAAGCCCCTTTTCATCACGGCGATCATGAGCTGCAGCGTGTCGCACGGGGAGGTGGCACGCTTTCACGCATGTGTGTCTGGCATGCCAAGGCCGGAGATCAGCTGGTTCCACCACGGGCAGCCGATTCAGCCCACGAAGAATGTGGTGTTTCACTTTGACGAGGTGTCCAACACCGCCATGCTCATCATCGTGGATGCCTTCTCTGAGCACGCAGGACAGTATACCTGCAGGGCGGCGAACAATGCCGGGGAGGCCGCATGTTCTGCCACTCTGACCATAAACAGAGAAGAAGAAGAAGGTAACGTCTGGATCCCTGTACTGCAGCCAGACTCCCTCTGAGACCTAAAACCTCACTCCTCCTGTGAGATTAACTCTCCCTCATCGCCGCCGTCTTAATGAAACAGGCTTCGATGGATGTCCCCGAATATCTGAACGATTACTTTTAGAATTACTTATCATCCCTCAATGATAAAATAAAATGATCAGAAGTGAAAAAAGATCCTGAAAATCAAAAACCAAACGCCAACTAGACTATATATCCGTACTGCTCGTCCATCAGCGCCCCCGAGTTGTCTTTTTTTTTTTAAATAACATCAAACTGCAGTTACAGCTCTGTCAAAAAGCTCTTCTTCAGAGTCCTGTCCTGCAGGCTCATTGACAGACCTGATAGTTTCTCCTCTGGACCCACGTGGTTTAGCGTTTTTAATGTTTATATTATTTAGATAAATCAATCAATGATTTAATAAAAAGTTTTTCACCGTGGTGGATTTAAAGAAGTGAGTAACCTCTCCATCTGGCTTTATTTAGAGACAGGACAGAGGATGGAGCAGGACATCAGGGAGAGCGAGAGCGAGAGCGAGAGAGAGAGAGACAGGGAGCCCCCCCCCCCCTCCATGACTATGCCTCCTTTCGTGGGACCTAGCACTAACTGCTAGGCTACCGGCGCCTCCTTAAAGAACTAATTTTACAGCAAAAAAGGAATCATCCAATTAGTTTGGTATAACAAAACATCATTTTAATTTTGATTAAGTTCCAGTTTTAAGTCTCCTATGCAGAAACGTTTTATACTTCCGCAGATATAGAATGACCATGTATCCGCCCCTCGAGCACCGTCTCCTGTTTTCTTAAAGTGACACTGGATGAAAAGTTATAAAAATTGGGACATCCGTCAGCCCTCGTCTGGATCTGACTAACCTCACTCTTCAGAAACCACAAACCTCTTTGTTCATGAAAGCACCAGTTTGTTTGACTCCTTTGAATATCACCTCTTTGCTGCTCCACCTCCCTCACCCTCTACCTGCACAGGAAAAGACAACTCCTCCACCCTCCTTCATCCTCACCCTCACACTCTACCTGCACAGGAACAAACTCCTCCTCCACCCTCCTCCATCCTCCTTCATCCTCACCCTCCTCTCCTCTACCTGCACAGGAACAAACTCCTCCTCCACCCTCACATGTTTAACCTCTTTGTCCTTCCCTCCATCTTGCAGGATTCTCAAACCTGTTTTTTTCTGATCCCTTTAGTGTCTGTCTTAATGTGAAGTTTCTTTGTCAATGTGTTCAGCTTGTTTCCTTCACCTCAAAGTCCAGTTTATTCAAACGTGTGGGCAGATAAATGAGACCCAAATCGTTTTACCTCATGCATTTTGATCCATTGTCTTCAGACATTAAAGGGTTAAGTGTCCTCAACTCGGAGTAAAGACATTTGGGAGAGGTTGAAGTCCAGTTAATAAACGTCCCGTCTTTCCTCCACAGTGACTCACGTGAGGGAGCACATTGAAGCCAAGATTGAGCAAGAAGTCAAAGGTAAGACCACATCAGACTTCTGTCCATCATACCTCAAACACACAACATTTTATCGCACAAACATGAGAAGCACACACGATGGAAACAAAGGGACGGCCAAACTTCACTTATTGCTTTAAAAGCAGTCTGTCAGTAGGTCACTTTGATCCAAGCTTCGTCTCAGTGAAGATGTTTCTAAAGTGAAGGAAGTGTTGAAGCGTGGAGATGAACTCGGACGTGTGGGTGCATGTGTTGTGGGTCAGAGTCGTCCTGGGTTCACAGACTGCTTTTACAGTTATTAAGACTTTATGTTGGACTGTCCCTTTAAGTGGTCTTTGTATTTCCACTGTTGCATGTAATGTTAATGTGTCTTTATGTATCTTGATGGTGAATTCATGTTGTCGTTATGATTCTACCTGATCTTTCTCTGTTGACATTTCATGGTTTTTCCCAGGCCAGCGCTGGTAGAACTTGCTTGTACCAGTTTCTGACTCTTTCAGTTTGCATCCAAAAGTCGTTTTCCGTTTTTGGCATGAAGGGTTCCTCTGATCTTTTCCAACAAAAGGCTCAGGATATGTATCTTTTAAAGTCTCCAGACTTGAAAATGCCCTTTAAAAGATATGGAGGTTTAATGCATCGGGAACTTCCCCCTGCAAAATATTTCTTAGCCTGGCTTGCAGATAGTTGGGATGTGATTCCTGTGGTTTGCATTTTTAAATAACACCAGTAAACTATATTAGTTCGAATAAACGCCTTCTCACCCAATTTTACAGCTTGATTTGTTTAACTTTTGGTATCTCAGAAATGTTTTGGAGAGCTTTGTTTCTCATAGATTTATTTATAAGTTTAAGGATTAGAAAGGGCGTTTATTCTCCTGTCTGCAAGTCAGGTAAGGAATATTTTAGAACGAAGTCATAAAGTAAAACAATCGAATGTTAGCAGCCCACCTTGGAATTATGCTTTTAAATAATAAAATAATTTATGTTTTGAAGAAATTTCCACAGACGAAGGATCAAAACTTCCTGCAGGTTTCTTATAAAAAGAATCAAGTCTTGCGTTTATTCGAACAAATATGGTGAGTGAAATTATTTTTTATGGCATTGTGACTCCCAGCATGCAATTAATATTCCATTGATTCATTCAAATCCTTTTCTCTCTTTTTTACCCCTGGAGGCGAGGATGTTCTGACCGTTGTCCGTTTCTTTTTCAGAGCTGTTTTATCATGAAAGCAAAGAAGGAGCTCAGCACAGCAGCACAGAACTCACCAGCACTCGACAGCTGAGAGGAGCCTTCTCCGACACAGAGGACTTCCTGGATCACGGCCTGGTGTCGGCTAACCGCTGCTCCAGCAGAACTTCATCTGTCACCTCATGGACAGAGAACATGAAACCTTCTTTTACCAAGAAACTCAAATTTCAATCAGTCGTGGAAGGGGAACCAGTGGAGTTAAGATGTAAACTTGTTGCTTTCCCTCCACCGACTATCCTCTGGTTTCATAATAATAGATCTATACCCAAAGAGCGTCGGCGTAGAATCCGCAGTGAAAGCAGAATGCACATGCACACCACCAGTCTGGTTATCGATTGTATCAAAGAAAAAGACTCTGGCAGTTATAAGGTAATGGCGATTAACACGGAGGGTTCTGCGGAGTCCACAGCATCACTTTTGGTTTCGCTGAGGGAAGAGCAGTCTGCCAACTACCTGGGCTTTGTTAAACGCTCTGCCAAAGCCCATGAAAGCATAGACTCCATGGCAGAACAGAGAAAAGAGAGGAAGATTAGGGTTGACCTCAGGTGTGTAGGGTCTCCATTTGACAAGATGTCCAAAGTCCATAAGGGGAGATCTCGTTCCAAGAGCGCCTTGGTGCGTACTGTGGTCTTTAAGTCTAGTACCAATTTAAAAGAAATCGAGACAGAGAAAGAGTCCAAATGTTTGGAGACTGCCTCTGAGCGTGCCCCGTCTCCTCCCCTTATGTTTGACAGGTCTGAGCACTTCAACGACAGATTCAGTGACATCTACTGTGACCGGCGCACCGGTGCTAGGTTCAGTGACAAGTTTAGTGACCGCTGCAGTGACAGATACAGTGACAGATTTAGTGACACTGAGAGCCTTCACAATGAGGTAAGAACAAAGCTAACTACGCTCCAAAAAGCTGTCAAACAAAAGAAGAGGTTGTCCATCTCTACCATGTCCTCGTCTGAGTTTGACTTGGAATCGGTTGCTAGCGAGCCAAGCTATGCAGATTATGTGGACAGGCTCAGGGTCAAGCCAGCTTCTTTGCATGATGTCCAGCAATTCAGTCGACCGTTTGATTTAGGAGAGAGTCAAAGGGAGTCTCATGTGAAATCCTCAAGCAAGGAAACCTCTGAGCCTCGTGTTAGGCATTCATTTGAGCCTCAGTCCAGAACCAGGGCTATTCAGATCTTGAAAGGTGAGCTGGTTGATACACTGGTGCAAGAGACTGAATCAAAATCAGGCGTGAAATATTCAAAGTCACTGGAGCCCAAACAAGTTAAGGGTTTTTCTGAATCTCAGGCAGATGTTAGAGTCAAGCCGAAGGTAAGTGGTCATCATGGTGCGGTTTCTGAGCAACATGGGGAGACCACAAAGCTTGAGGTCCAGCTGTCTCACCCTGAAGTTTCATACTCTGAAACATTAGCATATCCAGGAACTACAACATACACTGAAAGCCAGGAAGCTGCTAGTAATGTGCCTACTCAAGGAGAGGTATCCCACATGGAGACACCCAGGCCTGAACCTGTAAAAGATAGGTTCCTCAGTAAAGTACTGACATCAGAAAAGACAGCAGAGCCGGTTGAGCTTTATGAAGAGTCGCTGAGGGATCAGTATAAACAGAGCCTGGAAGCTGAGCGCATGGAGTGCGAGGAAAAACTCCTTGCCTTACGGATTAGGAAATGGCAGCAAGGGAGTATAATGTCTGATGAGGAGACATTTCATCCTGAAACTGATTTGCCAGCACCGGCAGAGACACAGTACATGGAGCCTTCAGGGCACTTTCAAACCCAGCAGGAGGTGGTAGAGAAGAGAGAAACTTTAGAAACTGAGGCTTTGCCCTCCTCTTACTATGAATCATCCAGAATGAAGGCAAGGTTGGTACAACCTGAAGCTACAGCTGTGTTGGCATCCAGATCACCTAAAGTCAAAGCCAGTGGGGAAGAGATGGAAATGTCCACCTCTTTGCTTACAAAGTCAGCCATGTTTGATACGAGCTTAGAGGAAATGGAAGATAAGTCACCAGTCATGCTGGCACAGAAGTCCCCCAGAATTAAACATAGAGGAGCAGAGTTGTCAACCAGAGCAAAAACCAGGACTGAAGACATAATTGAAGGGTCACCAAGGCAAGTCACATCTATCAGAGAGCGCTTTCTTAGCGAGGCTGTAACACCAGGTCATATATCAACCGAAACAGCTGATCCATATGCCGACAAGTTTGAAGGGGAGTCCTTGAGGGCTCAGTATGAAAAAAGCCTTGAAGCTGAAAGGATGCAGTGTGAGGAAAAGCTCCTTGCCCTGCGGATCAGGAAATGGCAGAAAGGCATGGTAATGCCAGAAGAAGAGACAGCCCAACCTGAAAGTGACGTGCCTGTACAAGCAGAGCCAAAGTATATGGAGACTGAGGAGCACATTTACAGCCAGCAGGAGGTGTGTGAGAAAAGAGCAACTGCAGAAAATGTTATTATGTCCACGTCAAAGTCACTTAAAATAAGAGGGAGACAAGAACAGGAGGATACCTCTTCCCCCTTGCTAAAAGCTAGGATGAGAGGCAAAAAGGAAGAGTTGGAAACTGGGCCATTGGACATGCTCACACAAAAATCACCCAAATTAAAAGCTAGAGCAACAGAAGTGGAAGCTGAATCTTTGCCAAGAACAAATGCCAGAACAGAAAAAATGTTGTTTGAGAAGACAAGAGAAGAGTGTGACCTTCAGCTGTCTAGGGAGAACATTTCTGAGTTAAAGAGTGAGAGCGAGAAGTTTGTCAGTGAAGAGGAGGCCTTGACTCAGCGGATAATGAAATGGCAACAAGATGTTCAGATGGAACAAGAACAAGCTGTGAAGTCGGAGTCTGACTGGGCGGAGGGTTACACAAACGTTGAGGCATCTGCTTTGGAAACAGTTCAGCACCCTGAACCGGTCCACAAAAGGAAGACTTCCCCTAAAAGAATTGACAAGTTCCCTTCAAGCGAGACAGCTCCAGCTGGTTTCCAAGAACAGCAGGATGATAGCCTGCAGTGGCCACCTACTGGTGATTTGCTGACAGAGGGTCGTGAGACCAGGTTGCAAAGAGACAGTGAGTATTTTGTAAGTGAGGAAGAAGCTCTGGCTCAGCGCATCCTTAATTGGCAAAAAGATGTTGTTGAACAAGAGGAAGTTGCTGAACTAGAAACTGAGTGGGCTGTTGACAATCAATGCAAACAATCTGGGTCTGGGTTGCCACTTGAATCCACTATTTCACCAATTGTTAGTGAAACCCATGGTGGCATTTCTCATGAACCACCTACCAGTGGCCTTCCAGCTCCACAAACCACTCCTGCTGGTGGGGCCTTACCAAACAAAAAACTGTCACCTCTTCAACATGATGCACGGTATGAGTCATCTCCTCCTCATGGTTCTTCCCTTGGAAGAAAATCTCCTACACATGCTGGGTTACAACATCATGTGGGTGTGCCTCTTGAAAGTTCTTATGATCTTGGAACTACAGTAAAGGACAGAGCAGGTCGTGAAGCTTCACCAGTTCACAGATACTCTCCAACCCATCTTACTAGTGTGCCTTTTGAGGGACATGAACTTGCCTCTCCTCGGGGTGGGAGCCCTCATAAGCCCTCAAGAGAATATTCCCCGGTCAGAAGACATTCCCCACGCCCAATTCCACAGGAAGAACGGGGAAGAGAGGAGAGAAAGATGAAAGGAGAGTTAGGTACTACCAGAGAGAGCAGTGAATGGAGACAAAATAAGGATTCTGTAGGTTTGAAGGGAGCAGAAAGAACTGGAGATTCAATGAA